AAGGGGAAGGCCACAACTCTCCCCCGCAACTCCTCCGTGCCTGACCTACATAACAGAGGAGCCAAGAGCTTAATCTGGCATTTGAGATTAAGGGCAGCTGGGCCATCTTCATTCTTGGTGCCGCCTCCCAGGTCGGCTTCCTGCCACTGCCGAGAGCTGCCCGGGCGGGGCCTCTGGCCTCCACAGACAGGTAGGGCTGCCGCATCGTCCCCGCTGGGATGCAGGGCCAGAGAGAGCCAGTTGGAGGTTGGCTCCTCTGCAGGGCTTCAACTTAATGTCCTCGTAACACCCCCAGCTGCCCCAGGCAGCGTTTCCTGCTCCAGACTCTCAGCACCTTCAGGGCGGGATGGGAGCTGCAAGGCCGAGATCAGGCCTGGGTGGGCGATGCTCCTAGGGGTGGGGCCTGGGGGGGGGACACTTAAAGGTCCTCTCTCAACCAAGGAGCCCTTGGCAGTCAGGCCTGGCTACAATCAGCCAGGCTGGGAGCTGGTCCCTCTGGGTTGTTGGCCCCGAGTGCAGGCTTGTGCTGGCTCTAGCAAAGTGAGGGCAAGAGCCCAGGGCAACCGCAGAGAAAGGCCAGTCTGTGCCAGCCCTTCAAAGTGGAAGAAGCTCAGATGTGAGCACCGCCTCTGTCCTTATGGTAAGGTTACAATGGCAGAATCTCACAGGTCTGAAAGTCCCCTGCCGGCCCTCACTTTCACTCTCTGGCACACTGGGGAGAATTCCTTCTGGGTCACCCCCTCCTCCTTCGGACTCCCATTTCCGGGTCTTCCTCCTGCCTCCTTGCATAGTAGACCCCCAGAGTCTCTCCTGGAGGCCCTCTGGATCTCCTGAAGTACCATGGACAGCACCGCCCAGGTCAGGGCCTGCCCAGGCCTCCCCCCCCCTGCAAGAGGTGGGCCTGCCCTCTTTCACCCCCTAAGCCTGCCCATCCTCTGTGGGAGCCAAGCCTGGGGTGGGGCTGGGGTGGCAATGGAGAGCCAAGCCCGACTGGGCACGGGGTCCAGAGGGAACCTGGGCTGGAGCTGACCCCCTCCCAGCAGGAGTCAAAGGGCTGTCTGGGATGCGGAAAGCTGTTCCGGAAGGCTAAGCGGATGAAGGTCTGCTCCCTGGTGCCTGCTGGCCTCAGCCTAAGCAGAAGAAAGGGAAACCTGACCTGGTTGCAGTGTGAATGGAGGACCAGAGAACCCTCCTTGTTAAAGGCTGCCTCTTTGTTGTGCAATCAAGGCAACCAGATGCTGGTTTAAATCTGACATCCTGGCTTGTGTGGAAGAGCAGGAATATGCTCTCCGGGTCAAAGCAGAGCTTGGGTGAGGCTAGTGGAAAACCAGCCAAAATGTGCCCCACCCGGCCATTAGCAACGGCCGCTGCCCTGGACCTGCCAGAAAGCTGAGCAGTAGCAGAGACCGCCCATCGCAGAGAGAGGGCATAGGTTAGGACCATGAGGAATGGGGGTTTCTAAGCCTCCCACACACAGAACCTCTATGGGGTTTTTCCCACTGTCCTGGAAGACCCTGGCGTGCCCTGTGGGGCAGCTCTGCAGTTCCAGGCCTTTTCATTAGGCACTGCCCCGGGGGAGGGAGGTGTCCAGGTTCAACCAGGCCCCAGTTGCCCTGCACAGCTTTGCACCAAACTACCCATCTCCTTCAGTGCCAGCCAGCCTGGCAGGTTCATACTCCATGCAGGGTGCTTAAAGTGATCCTGTTAAATGTAGAACCTGAACCGGATGCTGCCTAGCGCTACTCCCACAATGTGCTTAAGTAGGAGCTTAAAACCTTGTGGAAGCATCACTGGGCACAACTTGCAATGGCCTGGGGAATCAGGGCACGCTGGGTCTATTTGTATAGTGCCAACACTGCAGGAGCTGCCCTGGCTGCCAGCCGGTCCCCTCGTAAAACCCCTGGTGCTGGGGGTCACCAGCAAAGCTCTTCGTAGACCAGTCTGGTTCTTCCCAAGAGCATCTTCTCTGAATCAAAGATGGCTGCGGGGGGGGTGAGGGAGAGGGGGCTTGCTGTCTCCCCTAGTGGTCCAGTCCCCACTGGAAGTGAACCAGTCCCCCCCCCCCCGATTATGTTTCCAGGGATATATGGCTCATCTGCACCCAAATAGGGAGGAGGGAGGACCATATGTGCCCTGGATTATTAGCTGCTCTTTCATTGTTTTTATTCTTGTTCAGTTTATTGCATTGATTTGCTCTAAGCCCCTCTGGGAATAAAGCCTATCACCACTATTCACTGCAGGGCCAAGACATCCATGGTTGTTTTCCAGCATTCCAGCCTGGAGCTGAGAGAGGCGGCTGAGTCTCAGGGAGGAAGGGCTCTGGGGGGGTCTCTCTGTGCTGTGGGACAGACCTTGGAGAGGGGAGGCAGAGTGGGCAGTGGGTCAGGGAAGGGGCAGCCAAGTCCCCAGAGAGGTTGGGGCCACATGAGGCCTCCCCAGTTTCTCCTAATTAATTGGGCTGTAAAAGAAAGGTGGGGGAGAGATGTATTTTCAGAATTGTGAGATTTTGTTAATGTAACCTTACAATCAAGATAGACTTGTACTCCTGGGCAAGTACCTTTTTGTCTGGACCAGCTGGCACGGCCATTTGTTCCTTCCCTGGCACCGTCACTGCCTCCCCACCAGCAGATCAGCAGCCAAAATAATAAGTGATGGCCTTGAAATTAATAGGTGTGTGATCATCAAAGCTGTTTTGGATTCCTTGAACTCTGGACACACCTGCTGCTAGTTAAGAGGGGTGCAGCCACACCAACAGCAAAGCCTTCAAAACAGATCATAAAACACTTCTGTTCTCCACTTTTGGGGGACTATCTGAGGTGCCCAGAAATCTTTCTGGAAGCCTGGAAGCAACTGACCAGGCACCAAAGAAGCAGAGGCCCTCTGTGCTCTCCTGCTGAGGCTGGGCAGCCAGACCAGAGAACACCAGCAAGACCCCCCTTCCCTGCCACAGCCCAGAAGGGGTCCTCCTGGGGGTTTGGATTTGGGAAAGACTGGACAAGCCAGACCAGAGAGGCCGCACAAACAGCCACCCAGCCGAGCAGAACGAGTTCTCGAGTTTTCCATCAGAAGCTCTCCCGAGACGTGGCTGCCACCCATTTAATTTTCCGCCACTCGACAGAAGTCAGGAGGAAGCGAAACGAGGCTGCCCCACCTTCCGCCCACGGCCCAGGCCTGTGGTTTGCGTCTGCACCAGCTGGGAACTGGCACAGCCACGTTGGGCGTCAGAGACGGGGCCAGACGGGGGAATCGGTGCCCCTCGTTTGATCAGAGCCGCAAACCCTTGGGAAAGTCTGCAGATGCAGTTATTGCCACCCAGCTCTGCCCAAGCGGGCAGGGAGGACCCGGGAGGCTGCAGGTTCAAGCTGCAGAGCTCTGTCAGCCACAGAAAGCAAGCTGGCTGGATCAGGCCAAGGCCCACCTGTCCAGTCTGCTTTACAGAGTTGGCACCTGCGGCCTTTCCCCAGCCTGCAACCTAGTGCGGACCTTCTCCCCCTCCGCCGTTTTCCTGCCACTGATATTTGGGGCAGGTAACCCTGCTGAGTCTTCTTGGCTGACAGCCCTGGACAGACCAGCCCTTTGAGGCTCTAGCCCAACCCTTCTGATATCACCCAGGTTAGTGGCCATCACCTCATCTTCTTACGGAATCCCTCAGGAGGAGTCTTGTAAGGATATGCTTGGAATTTTCTTGGGCCTGTGCCAAGCCTGCCTCCCATCGGCTCCCTGGACTCGTCTGAGAGAACTTCTGCTGTAACTCGGCACGCTCAAGTCCCCCGTTGCTCGAAAGGCTGCTGGCTCCTGACTCCCCAAGAAAGAGCTGGCGGCGCCTCGCATCTGGTTGGAGGGGGAAATGCTGACCATCTGGTAACCAGCCATGGGACACAGAGGTCCACATCCCCGTCCTTAGCCAAGGGGTCTCTACTACTAGGAGGGCCACAAACAATGGCTTTCCCCAAGAAACGCTCCCCTATCACTCAGCTCAGTCTCCTGTGATGGCTCTCTCTCAGGCCCATGTGTGTCACACACAATCACTCCCCCATCCCACCGTCTTGGTCACTGCTGGAGTGAAACCCGCAAAGCCCACCCTCTTTTCTGCCATCAGGGTTTCTGTGATGCTGGCCAGGTCCTCCCGCATGAACACGCAGCCTCACCTCAGATCCAGTGGGCATTTTTCAGCAGGAGCCTCAGGCCCAGCTAGGACTGCTAGGGGCCAGGCAGAGAGAGGGCATCCGTGCCAACCTCAGAGGGTGGTGGAGACACAATGGAATTGGGGAAGCCAGGGCACAAACTAGGCCCAGGGAGGCTGAGGGCTGGAAGACCTTGGCCCCCAATGAGGAGGGTGTCCCATAATTCCGGACCAGGGCCTGGAGGACGGCTCTGAGCTGTAGCTCTTGGACACCCACTGGCAGTTTATTTCCCAGAGCTGATGCTGCCCGTTCATTGTGCTGCCCAGAACGGCTACATCCGAGCAGAGGAAGGCCTCGGATGATGCTGGGAACAAGTGGGCAAAATTGGCAGCCAGGTCTCCTTTGCCAGCCCACGGGCTTCACCCTTCTCTGCCAGCAATAATCCACTCCCAGAGAAGTTCTGGACTAAGTGTAAGAACTGCACTTATTGTTACCAGAGGCCTCTACAAGAGGCTGCAAATGGTCAAACCTGGAATTTGGCTCGAGGGTGTGGCGTTTGCGGCCTGACTGACCTCTTGCATGCCCTCTGCTGGCTGCAGAGCTTTGGGCAGTTTTATTTAAAAGATGTGCAAGAGCCTCTTTGTGGGCACCATCCCAGGGAGTCTTCCTGGTCCATGAGCGAAGCAGGGTGGGCTGGGCAAGGGGCACTCGGCTGTTCCAAGGACAACCAGGGCTCCTTCGCTAACCACTGGGACAGCTTCTGCCAGTTCTTCCGGAAGGAGGAGGTCCAGAGCATGAACAACAGCTGGCCCGTGGCTGGTCCTCGTTCCGTGGCCCTCACCCTCCCGGCTACCTTGACTTGGACAAGCAAGTGGGTGCAGGCAGAGGGTGGTATTGGTCCTCACAATTTTATTGCAAAAGGGGAAAGAAACCACCGCAGCCACCTTCCCCTCCTGCTTGTGGGGGCGATAGCTCACCAGAGACCCCCTCCACGCACCCAGCCCAGGAACCCGCTCCCAGCCGGGAGTTCAAGCTGGGACTGGCAGGAGACGGAATGGTGGCTTGGGGTCCCCACCACATTCCCTCAGACATGTGCTCTGAGCATGAAGCCCAGCGGCCTCTTCTCCAGGCCCAAGAAGCCCTACATACTCAACTGTCCCACTGACAGAACAGACCCCCTTCTGCCCAACACTCCCCCTCCCCCCCCCCGGTCTGAGGTCCAGGTGCGGTTGCAGGTCCAGGCAATGGCTCTTTCCCACAGAGGAGCGCATGGCCCTCCCAGGGCAGACAGCTTGGGCTGCTGCTGGACTGTTTCTCAGGAGGCCCCAGAGGTCACCCCGACTCCCCTTGCTGCTGCCCCTCGGGTCCGACCTGCGGCAGCCCCCCGCCCCCTCCTGAGCAGCCGCTACTCTGCCGGGATGGGCGTGTTGCAGTTCCCGTGGTAGATGCGGACATGGCCATCGCAGCGGAAGTAGCGCTCAAAGACATCGCTGTAGCCGTGATCACGCCACCAGGTGCAGAGCTGGCGGTTCCAGGTGCAATCCAGAACATAGAACAGCTCGGGGTGCTCCATGCCCACCAGGGTGAAGAAGTCCTGGTCCCCCAGGTGGCCCTTGAAGTGGAACTTGTTGGCCAGCTGCTGCACCATCGCCGGCTCCAGCAGACGGTTGTACTGCTCCGACTGGCGCATGGCCTCCAGGTCCAGCAGCAGCACCCCACTGTTGAAGCCGGGCAGCCCGTCTGGGGGCGGGTCCCCCACCTTGGTCCCAGGGTTTTCCTGCCGATACTGCCAGAAGATGTGCCTGGGGAGGGAGGGGAGAAGGTCCAGGAGAGGCCACTCCTGCCCACAAACTACGGGCGAGGGAGGGGAAATGTTCTTGCCTCCAGGAAGGGGCTCCGATCCGAGGAAGCCACCAGTGCACCAGAGACACTTGCTGCCCTCTCTGCTCCAGCTGCCTCCTTGCAAAACCGTTTCTCCCACTCCACCCCCCTCTCACCCGCAGACCTGTAGGGGGGGCTTTGTGCCACTACTTGCCAGGGGACAACGCCCTCCGGCCGCAGATGGCATCCTGCCCGCAGGGAGGGCAACCCAGCTTGGAGCAGCTCCAGAAAGAAAGAGGGGCAGCCGCAGCCTCAGGGAGCCTCTGATCTATTTACAGCTGCAGTTTCCTTGTGGACTGAAGCAACGCGCCTCTCTACCCCTCAGCAGTGATGAGATACACTGCCATGAGGACCAGGAGCTTTAGATGGCTTCTTTTCCAAGACACCAAGGCTTTTTCTCTGGCTGGCCCCCTCCTCTATCCCAGCCCTGCCTTGGAGGGGGTGGGGCAGGTCCTTTGAGCACCCAGTGAATTGCGGTGTGCACTAATAGGCTGGGTGGGTAACAGGGCCAGTCAAAGCTTTCCCTCAAGGGCGCAACAGGACCTTGCTCAGCCTGGGGAGGCAAGTGACCGACTGGGGCTGCCACAGTAGCCAGTCTTTACCCGGGTAGCTGCCTTGGCCTGAGTCTGGCCGCACGTTCACCCTTCCATCGCCTGGCCCTGACGCCATGCAGGCTCTTTACCCATCCTTGTCTGCAGGCTGCGAGGCAACCTCCGCTCACAGGGGAGCTGTCAGAGACCTCCGTGCGCTACCAGTGCCCAACAAGACCGTCCACAGCCCAACCTGTGTCTGTTACGCTGACCGTGTGCCTGCCCCATGTAACAGCAGGGTCCCTTTTGCCCTATGGGCTTCGTCTGACATCCAGCCGCTCATGCAGGGCCAGAGTTGGCCTGGTCAGCACCCGCCCCCCCCATCCTCAAGGGGCCCAGCAAGGAAGGGCCCAGGAAGTGGCACAGTGCCAGGCATGGCTACATACCGATAGACCGGCTGCATTTCTTGGGCGATGCCAATTACTGCTCCTTCTGGGAAGTTGTCAAATTCCTGAAAGAGTTCCCGAATGTTGGCACGGTACTCCACATCCAGATCCACCTGTATGACCCGCGAAACCTCTGGAAGGGCAAAGCAGAGGAAAAGAGGCCGATTCAGATACAGGCGGATTGGAAAAACCCCCAGGCTCCCAACCGCAGACAGGCACATCTTTAGATGCCTCTATTCAGCTCCAGCGCCTCGTAGTTACAAAGGCGGCCCTGGGCTCCTCCCGTGGTGGCTCTGAAGGAGACTCCGAAGAACCGAGGCAGCGGCCCAGGGGGCTGCAGGCAGGCGAGGAGCACCCAGTTAACCACTCACCTCTGGGCATGATGTGGTGCATGGCGACCGAGAGGAAGAAGAGCGAGTCCCCGTAGTAGCTGCCAGCCCCCGCACTGAAGAGCTTCTGCATGGCCTCCACTGTGGGCTGGAGCTTCTGGGCCAGCACCTCCAGGTCGTGGAAGACCACCTGCTGGGCAGAGGGGCCGTCAGGACAAAGGGGGGGGGGTCTGCCCTGGACAGGGGCAAGAGAAGGCAACCTCCCCCCCAGTCCACAGGCTTCTTTGGCTGCTGTCCAGATGTCAATTAAAGTAAACTACAAGCAACAACGGACAGAAACAGGGAGACCGGGGGGGGGGCTGGAAAACGAAAAAGAAGCCCCCCAAGGGATGTGATTTGCGGAGGGACGGACGGGGGGAGGGACATCCACGTCCGAAGGCAGCCAAGCTCGCCCATTCCCGAGCCCGGGAAAAGTTGCCTCTGCCCGGTTCACAGGCTCCCGCCTGGCCGACGGGGGGGGGGCGGCGGAGGGGACGCAGCCCCGGGGGCGCGGAGGGAAGGGAGGGGGGGGCGCCCACCTTGTACTTGAAGGCGGCCGGGCGCAGCGCCTGGTGCAGCAGCTGCCGGGCGGGGGCCCTGCTGGGCCCGTCGCAGAGCAGGTGCAACGCCAGCGCCTCCCGCGGGCCCAGCTTGCCGAAGCGCACCAGCGAGCGCAGCGCCGCCGCCGCCTTGGCCAGCAGCGCCTCGTTGCGCTCCGCCTTGGCCAGCACCGCCAGCACGTGCAGCTCCGCCTCGCCCGCCGCCCCCTCGCCCGCCGCGCCGGCGCCCCGCAGCAGCAGCTCCTCGCCCGCCTTGGCCTTGCCCTCCGACGCCGGGACCGGGGGGGCCGGCGGGGACGCGGGCGGCGGGGCGGGCTGCGCGGGGCCCGAGCCCGCGTAGTAGAGCGCGCAGGCCAGTGCCATCGCCGCCGCCGCCGCCAGGACGCAGGGCTGGGCGCGCAGCACCGCCAGACGCCGCGCCATGGCCGCCTCGCCCGCCCCCGCCCCGCCGGAGGAGGGCGGTCCCGGAGGGGGGCGGGGTCCGCTGCCTGGACCCGGAGCCGCTCCGCCCTTGCGGCTTTTTACGCGCCCGCGGAGGGGAGGCGAGGGCAGTGCTGGAACAAGGGAGCGGTCCGCGGCAAGGTGCCTTCCCGTCCCTCTCCTGGGGCGCCCATCGCCTTCCTCGCCTCGCGCTTCGTCTCCCAGGGCCACGGGGAGGGGGGAAAGGCTCTCCTAGTCCCCCAAGTGGAAACGAGGGCAGTCCGGGGCCTCTCCGGGAAAGGGGGAGGCAGCGGCAAGGAAGAAGTGCCAGACCTTGAAAGGGCAGTCCCGGTGGGTGCACAGGCCGGGCTGCATCACCCCAGCGGGCTCCCCCCATTCCTAGAGGCTGTTCCTTTCCAAGCTCGGGGAGCCCCAAAATGGAAAGATCCGGCAGACCAGCTGGGAAACGTGGCCCCAAAGGCCCAGGACGGACGGGGGGGGGGGAGAGGGTGGGAGAAGCTGCTGCCAGAGCCCCCTTCCTGTACCAGAAGAGCCACAGGGAGGCCTCGAGAGGGGCAGGCTGTCCTGGGAGCCCTTGGCGTCTTTGCTGGAGGGCCCAGTCAGAGGCGCCCCGGCCCCCCCTCTCAATTCCGGGATGCCAGGCGTGCCCTGTGGCACAGGAAGCCTCCCCTTCTCGCGGAGGTCCCCTCCCCTTCCCAGCTGCTCAGTCTTTGGGGCAACCTCTGAAGGGCTCCCACCCTCACAATGTCCTCTGCCCAGCCCCATCACAAAACAATTACAAGTGTGCAAGTGAAGCAGATTTATGTATAAAAAAGGGGGGAGAGATAAGGGTACATGGGGGGATGGAGGTCTCATTCATTGCGAACTCTTAGGCCTTTCAGGGCTCCGGCGTGTCAGGTGGCTGGAAGCGTTTCAGCTTTTCTGGATTGTTGGAGGCCATCTGGGAGAAGTCCCGAAAGATGTCCTGGTAGGTTTCATCGCCTACGAAAGAAGGGAAGACACGGCAGCGTTGAAGAGACTGCCCCCCACCCGCCTGCCCTGGGGAGTCTGTCTGCTTAGCTATCTGGTCATGCTCCTGCCAGTCCCCTTCTCCATCCAGGCCCCCAAGGTGGTTTCTGCAGCCCCCTGCAAGTGACCTCCAGGCCACTGAATACTTGCCACCAGCCCCAGGCAGGAGCCCTGCGGTCCCCCCACCCTGGGAGGCTGTGCTGCATCACCCAAACTGCAGTGCTTGGAGATTAAGCATCTATTTTGGCAAATCCAACTTGGGCAAAGAAGAGCAGCAGCAGCAGCAGCCAAGGCCAGAGCCTGAGGCAGCCCCCGGGGGCCGGAGAGTTGCAGACCTTCCCATTCCCACCACTCCCGGCTGACCTTCTCCAATCCATCCACTCTGAGCAGAGCAACCCTGTTCCTGGCCGGGCTGCTAGGCTGCCGCCCTCTTTGAATTCAGGGTGATCCCTCCTTAACCCTCTGCTCCAGCAGCAGACCCACTACGCCATTCCAGACAGATGGCTGTCCAGTCTCTTCTTAAAAGCCTCCAGTGCTGGAGCACCCTCAACTTCTGGAGGCAAGCTGTTCCACTGGTTGATTGTTCTCACTATTAGGAAATTCCTCCTTGGTTCCAGGTTGCTTCTCCCCTAGGTTAGTTTCCATCCGTTGCTCCTTGTCCTGCCTTCAGGTCTCAGGTGCCTTGGAGAACAGGTGGACACCCCCTCCCCTTTGTGGCCGCCCCTCAAATATTGGAACAATACTATTTGGTCTTTGAATTCAGGGTGCTCCCTCCTTCATGCACCCCCAACTGGCCAGGTCCAGAAGCCCCTGGGTGAGCGTGGACTGGCGATGCCCAATCCCTTGGCAGAGCTGGGATCAGTCCCAGGGCGTGCACGGGAGGGGGGGGGGCGTGTTGCTGCTTCATCGAGAATGGCCTTCCATCCTCAGCCCATCAACCCCCGGCCTACCTTCCAGGGCAGCTTTTATTTTGGGTCCCCAGCCTCCCCCCTCGTTGGCAAGAGAGGCAGAGAAAGCACCATCTAGCGGAGGAGGCTGGAAAGAGGAAAAGGAGTCCCAGCCAGACCCTGCCTGGAAAGAAGAGTCACGGCAGCCATACGGAGGGAGGCAGAGTTAGAAAAAGAAGGGTGGGAGAGGAAGAGGCAGCACAGATGCCCCCCCTTTCCTCCCCAGCCAAGGTGGCCAGGAATCCAGGGCAAGGAGGCCGGAGAGGGAAGAGCATGAGGTGCAGCCAGACAGAGGCCCCCAAGAGCCGGGGGGGGGGGAGGGCTCCCTCCTAACCAGGTACAGGCTGGCGGTCCCTCTGTGGGGAAGGCTTGTATTCCTGCACCTCCAGGGACCCCCCAGCTCTAAGACTCTGCCCTGCGCCTTGCTCTGCGCGCTGAGAAGAGGCCACGGCAGACCCAGCCTGGGTGATGCAGTTCTACCCGTGTGCTCATCCCCCGAAGGACTTGCAAAGAGGTGCAAGCGTGTGCTGATCAGACCTGCGGTGCCCAGTCAGCAGAAGCGATGCAGCCGCCAAGAGTTGGGGGGGAGAGACAGAGCATCTGTGGGAGCTGGTCTTTCAAAGGCTTCCCTGTGCTGCCCCTCCCCCCAATTACGTGTCAAGCGTGTCAAGCAGAAACCGGTGTTTATATGGGAGGCAGGAGGGGACCTGGGCAAAGCAGCCCTGAGCATCTCCTGCGGCCCACAGGAGGGGGAGGGTCCTACAGCTGGTCTGGGCTGCCTGCTGAGGAACTCTTCCTCTCCACCCCTTGGCAGGCGCACCTGGCTGGCCGTAGAGTCCCTCCGACTCCCGCATCTCCTCGTTCATCCTGGCTAGGCGCAGCCTGCAGACAAAGGGAAAAGAGCTTCAGGCCTCCTCAAGAGGGCCTGGTGCACCGCCCCCACCTCTGCCCACCAGCCCTGCTCCCATCCGGGCCTCCTTGTGGAAGGGCCAAAGCCGCTCTGGCCAGGGCCGGCTTCCAGGCACAGAGTCCAGGCCGTGTGCCTGCGAGCCCGGCCTTTCCCCAGGGGCCTCCCCGGAGAAGATGAAGCTCCATCCTTACAGGGTCACGATGTCGGCGTTGGCGGCTTCTATGGCGACGCTCAGGGGGTCCTTCCCGTCCTCGTCCCTGGCGTGCTGGTTTGCCCCCCTTTTCAGGAAGAGGCACACCTGCCTGTCAAAAGGGAACCAGCACAGCAGTCGGTTTCCTGCAGGAAAGAACCTGGGCAAGGTCGGCCGGTGCCTGCAGAGAAGCCTTCCCAGGAATGCGGCAGGAGCCCCGAGAGCAGGAGACCTACCCGGTGTGCCCCAGAATGGTAGCGTGGTGGAGCGGCCCTCTGCCCTGGGCGTCTCTCAGGTTCACGTTGGCCCCGTTCTGGAGGAGGAACTCACAAGTGACCAGGGAGCCCTGAGGGGGAGACGAGGGAGGTCCAGGCTAAGCTCTCGGCCGGAAGTGGGCCTCACCCTTCCCTTCCCCAAACTTGCAGGATGCAACCCGAATCCTGTGCCCTTGGATCTGGCTGCCAACTGGGCCAGTGGGTAGGGCAGGGCAGGGCAGGGCAAGCAAAGCTCACCCCACGAACCGCCTGGATCAGCGGAGTGAAGCCATTCTCCTGGTTGCGCCAGTTGACCTCTGCCCCCTGTGCCAGAGCTTCGGCCATGTGGGGAAGACTCTTCTGGTAGGCTGCCTGGTACAGCTGCAGCCCTGCGACCCACAGCTTGGCATCCTGGGAAGCAGCACCAGCGGAGGAGGAGGAGGAGGCCTCCCCCTGGCTTTCTCCCTCTGGAGGAGGAGAGGCACTTCCTGTCTTGCTGCTCTGCCCTTGGCCCGCCCGACAGCAGTTTCCCCACCCTCCGCTTGGCTGAGAGGGATAGGCGGCTGGGGGGCCTCCTGCAGACGAGGCTCAAAGGCAGAAGCAGAACTGGCTGCTGGGTATCTTCTTACTTTAACTAGACATTTAAACATCCCCCTGCCCCACACCCCCGCCTCTCCCCCCCCCCAGTCCAAAACATGTTCCTGCTAACAGGCAAAATCTGGGGGGAGGGATGGGGATCCCACCCAAGGAAAGAAGGTGAGGTCTCCCCCACACGCACAGCGCCCCCAGCAGGAGCTCCTACCTGGTTCGTGCAAGACGCTGGCTGGGGCAACGGCTGCCAAACGCTCTTTGCTCTCCTCCCCGTCGGCCTGGGAGGCCTGGGGGCTGCCTGGGACTGTTTTAAGAAAAGGCCGTCCTTAGCGGGGGCAGCAGCAGCCGTGGGTGTGGGGCATCTGCCTCGGCAGACTGGTGAAAGCTGGGCCTGCAGCACGGGCACTCGCCCTCAGCTCTCCTGGCCCCAGACCCAACGCGGAGGGCAGAGCCGGCGCCACACCCAGAGCAGACTTACTACAAGGCAGATTTGAGGAGGAATCAAAGTAGAATAAGAGCCAATCTAATTCACTGAGACAGAAAAGAGGCTCTTCTCAGCTCGCCCAGCTGGCCCTCACACCAGTCGCTGGGGGCATGCAAGCTGGCCTGGCTCAGTGCAGGCAGAGGACAGGAAGGGAGGAGGAGGAGGAGGAGGAGGAGGAGGAGGAGATCAGCTGGTTAAAAGTGACATTGCAGCTTCTCCCTCGGCTTTGGCAAGCATGAATGGGAGCATCTCCTGGGGTTGCAAGGAGGAGATTTTTGCCCACACACTCCCCTGCTTTACAAGACGGGGGGGGGGGTGTCTCAGCAACCAGCCTGGGTACCTTTTAGAGGGGCTGCTGTGCTTTCAGGGCTGCCTTGCTTCTTCGCCTCTTGGTTGGGGGTCAGGGCTGGCTTCCCCCCTGGGTCAGCGGGGGACACAAACCGCCGGTCCACGTACTTGGCTCTAATGTACTCTTCCTTCTCCTGCCTGCGTGCAGAAAACAGGCCAGGTGAGCTTCTGCCGGGCAGGCGCAACACGCTCCCCCCCCCCCGGGTGAGCCAGCCGCCTTCTCCTGTGGGCACTCGAGGGGCCAGCTGCAGGGACCGGTGGCCGGGGTCTGGGGTTCCTGCCTCTTGCCCCAGAAGCAACAAAGGGCAGCAGTCGGGTCAAGCTGTAGAAGGTGCTCGGGGAAACGTCTCCTGTGATCCGACTCCAAACGCCTGGGGCGCAGCTGGCCCCCCCCCCACCTTGAAGTGGCCAGGTCTGGACACCTCTGCCCCAATGCCGGGAAACGGGGAAAGAACGAGGAGGAGGAGGAGAGCGCCAGGGGCGAGAGGGAGGGCCTTGGTGACGAGCCAGGAGCAAACCAGCGGATGGCCGAAAGGACCGGGTCAGGGATGGACCGTCCCAGAGGAGAATCCATCTATGTGCTTAAGAGTCAAGGACACGACAGCATACAGTCAATCAGCCTGATGTCTCTATTATGTAAGGTCTTCAAGAAGATTGACAGCGTGTTTGTGAGCACTTGGGTAGGAAAGCAAAGCCAGTATTTATTTATTTATTCATCAAATTTGTACAGCCGCCCATCTCACCAAAAGCAACTTTGGGCCATGTACAACAAACATTAGTTTGTCGTGACTGATTAATGTTATTACTGGACATAACATACTATGACTTCAGTAAAAAAAGTTTTCCATGATATTCTTATTTTAAAAATGATAACCATGAAGTAGATGATATAAGTGCTACATGATTTCCCAACTGGTCCAAGAACAACATCCAGGGAATGATCATAAATGGCTTTTCATCAATTGGGGGGGGGAAAGACACCAAACAAAGCGCCCCACACAGATCGTTCACCGTTGACCACCTGGGCAGAGAGGCTGAGGAGCGAGTCTGGGGCTAACGTTACGCCGGGGCTAGCAAGGGGCGCCATAGGTGGCTTCGTGGAGGGGCCTCACGCTCCCCTTCCCTGGAGGGCCTCAGCCAAGCTAAAGGGGCCTCTGCCTGAAGCAGGTCTTGCACTAACCGGTCATTGGACTACTAGATGGTCTCTGAGGTCCCTTCCAACTCTCCAGTTTCATGGAGATAATCTAATGGGGACCGTGACGGGTTTGAGGGAGAGGGGAAAAAAACACTCCCCCCCATGCAGGACGATTCCGCCCTCTGCGCTAAGTACCTTTGGCTTCCAGAATGAGGCTTCTTGGCTCCCATTTTTTCTCTGTTTGCTTCATACACCCTGTTTATCACATTGTTCCCCAATTCACACATCAGCTGTAGGAAAATCACGAAACATCAAGACCTAAGGGGGGGGGCCTCCTGCGCTACCCCCGAGGCGAGGGTATATGGGGGGGTGATCAAGGATGCCAACTCAGCTGTCCCTTCCCTGCTCCTGCCTCAAAGGCCCCTGATCTGCCCTGGCTGGACCTCAGCCCTCACCCCACCCCGACCGAGAGCCTGGGGCTCTCCCTCCCAGGGGCCTCTGCCACCCCTCTCCCCACAGAGGGTACCTTCAAAAGCTCCGGCTCCCACGAATCCAGCGTCAGGGACCGGACCTTGGAGAAGTGGACGCCCAGGCTCCTGCAGGGCAGACAGGAGGCACCGACTCAGGAAGGGGGCAGGCAGACGGGGAGGGGGGGCAATGGGTGCCTCCTCTTGGAGAGCACAGGGGGATGCGCCTGCTCGCCCACCTGTGAATGCCCGAGCACTCGATGCACAGCGTGATGCCAAGGTTGATGCTGGCCCAGCGGGGGTCCGCCAGGCCACAGTCGCAGCACATCTCGTTGCCGGCAATGGCCTGGACCCTCTGGAGGGAGCCTTCCCCCTTCAGCGACTTCTCTTTGGACTCCTGGCTGGACTCGGGGCTCCCCGTGGAGGGGGGGCGCTTCCTCTCCACCTGCGGAAGAGGCAGCAGGAAGATGCTGGGACCGGCCCTCCTCGGCCCCCAGGCCCCCTCCCGGCCCCCGATGGCTTGGCTTGCCTCCTGCCAGGCCAGAGCCGGTGCTGACCGCTGTGCTCATGAGCGCAGGTGGCAGCAGAAGCAGCTAAGGGTGCTCCTCCAGCCCTCCAGACGGGTAGGGCTGAGGTTGGAGAAGGCGGGGGGGGGGGAGACCCACCTCGGCCTTCTCTCCTTTCTCCCTGTAGGCACTGGCGATGCTGGTCTGCACAGCCTGGATCCACGCTTGCCGCAGCTTCTCTGAATCGGCCTGCAGGATGCAGCTCCTGCAGGAGAGGGAGGCCCAGCCGGGTAGGCAGGTGAGAACTCCTGGGGCTTTTAGCAGCAACTGCCCCCCCCCGCAACAATAAGGGTATAAACGGGAAATCAATTCACACCTTCCAGCCTTAATGTTGCCCCCACCCCCACCCCACGGGTCCCAATTCATGCTCCTGAAGTTCAAGCCTTTTCCCAGCACAATCCTGGCGTAAGAGGAAACTGACCAGAGGTCTCCCTTACCCAGAAGCGAGAGGGGGGAGACCCGGGCTCAGTTCTCTTTCAGCCAGACTGACCCTCGGCCGGACTTAAGAATAAGAGGCAGAGCGTTTTCCAGCAGCTCCCAAAAGCCGATATCCCTACCGGACACATTTCTACTGTGGCAAAGTGTGCTCGAGTTTAATCTTGGTTGGGAAGGTTGTTTCCCTTCTGGTTCAGCATACTGTGCAAATTCAAACTGGCCAATTTGTGCTTTCAAAAATTGCACAAGCTCAGAAAGGGATCAATTTGGGAAGCAGTGGGTGAGACGGTCCCCTGGCTGTTTCCCAGGTTCCACCCAATTCCCCAGGAAATCAAGGGCAGGGGGCCCCGTCTCCCACCCTTCCCTTCCGGCATCAGATGGCCAGAGGCCTCTGACCTGCTTGACCCCTCCCCCCAGGAGGGAGAGGTCTCTTGGATCCCCTGGGGACCCCTGGACACAGGCCCCGGAGGCGTCCAGGGCCCGAGTCCTCCCACTCACTTGGTTGGAGACACCACCTCGAAGCAGAAGCGCCTCTCCAGATCCTCGCAGGGCTTCACCGAGCATAGCCGCAAGTCTTCAACCACCACAGTGGGCGCATCCTGGGGACGGCAGGGAAGGCCGAAAACTGAGCTTTCTCCCGCCAGGAGCCGCCCCGAGAGGCCCGGGCAGATGCAGCACAAGCCAAGGGGCAATTCCCTGGGCAGCTGGGCGGGAGGCTCCTCGGGACCCAGATGGGCCCAAATGGGCGGCCGAGCACTGGGCTCGAGCGAGCGCAAGAGGGAGGGAGGGAGGGAGGGTCAGAGGGAAAGGCCGGGGGCGGCCCAACGTGCCCGATGCCAAGCTGTGCCCGGCCAGGCAAGGGAGGGGTCCTCCTGAGCCAGGCCAGCCTTGCGCTTGCCATGTGTGGGATGGGTGCCTGCCCACCCGGCCCCACCCCCGTCCTGGGCCAACAGTGAGCGAGGGCGGAGAGGGTGCCGGCTTTCCAGAACCATCTTTATTTTGTCCTTATTACTGAAAATAACCAAGCCAATGCAAGCCGCTGCTCCAGACGGGGGGGGCAGTCCCTCCCCGGGTGGGTTCCCCAGCACCCCTCGCGACGGAGGCCCTCCGGGACTCACCCTGAACTTCTTCTGGTAGACCAGCTGGTTGTTCTGGATGGAGAACCAGCGCCTGCAGCAGGGAAGGAGGCAGAGTCAGCAACGCCCTTCGGACCGGGAGACGGAGGCCAAATCCACCCGGACTCCCTCCGGCTGACTCTGAGAGGCTCGGAAGCCTCCTCCCCAGCCCTCGGGAGAAGAGGGGTTCTGTGTGTGTGTTTATGTGTGTGTGTGTGTGAGAGAGACACTTGAACCCAGAGAAGGGCTGTGCAAAGCAGCCAGAGGGAGGCACTGCTCTAATAGCCGGAGGTGTGTGTGTGTGTGTCCAGGAGCAGCTTCTGGGCTTCCCCTCGTGACCTCACAAATTGCTTTTCGGACTCTCTTTAACTTCAGCCCCAAAAGGAGACTGGCTGGCTGCAAATCCCTGGGACCTGGTTTATCCCCAGTGATGCCACGATGGGGGGCCGGGACCCTGAGGCTGCTTGGAAAAAGGGCCGAAGGGGGGGGGAACCGAAGGGCAGACAGCACAGGGGGAGGGAGAGCTAATGGAGGGAGCTGCACCCCTTTACCTTTGGGTTCTTTTCTGAATGTCCCACCCTCCCACCCCACCCCCGTGACAAATGCTGGTAACTCCAGAGACACACCCTTCCCCCTCCAAGTGACCACCCCCAACGCAGACTGAGCTGTAGCTGCAGGGCTCCCCCACAGCCGGTCCCAAAGGGCCCTGGACTGACCAGAGGATTCCTTCCTCAGAAACAGCAACCCGACTGGCAGCCATGCCGGGCCCTGCTGCCCAGCTCAGCTGGCACTGGGGCGGCCACTGCTTTCCACTGTGCCAGGCAGATGCTGCCCTTCTGGGATTAGGTCCTTGGAGTGTCTGCAGGCAGGGCAGGGCAGGGCGGGGCCCCCAGACACCCTCGCGTGGTAATCCCTGGCAAACACGGGCACCGAACTCTCCCCCTGCCTACGGAGGGCAAGGGTGGGCTTCAACCCCACACGCTGCCTCTCGGGTGGGTGATCTGGCATCTATCTATCCGGCAGGAGAGGCCACCACACAAGCCGAGAGCCACCTCCATCGAGGGTGGCTCTCCCAGGAAACAAACTCCGATCCAGCCGGGGCTCTTGCTGCATTTTAAGAGGCACCAGACCCGCACTCAAAAACAGAGGAGGGGGGAATCAGGCTCCTTCAGCCCCCCAAGAGAGAGAAAGGCAGAGGCAGAAGTGGAACCAATGGAATGAGGAGAGGCCACAAAACTGCCAGGCAATGTGTGCAACAACAACGGGGAAAGTGCTGCTACCCCACCTGGGGGGGGGGGGGGAGAGAAACACTGAGTGTGGGGAGAGGCAAGAAGAGCAGTTCAGAAGGCACCGCCTAGTCTGGGGATGGGGGAGCACAGCCCAGAGCCAGAGGACCCCCCTCCCCATCGTCCGCAGGAGGAGGGAGTCTTCCCCGAACAGCCAAGAGGGTGGAAGGGCGAAGCTCTCCTTGACCCCCACCATGGGCAGAGCGTCTCCCCTCCGGTGCCGCCCCCCACTTTATTTATTTATTTGATGGTTTGTTTGTCATATTCATGTCGCCACCCATCTCGAAAAAGGAGTGACTCTGGGAGGCATACAACAAAGCTAAAAGCAACAAAGATATTCAAACAATTATTAGTATTGTTAGCATGAAACAGCTTAATAAAAGGCATAAGCTAAAAGGAAAAATAAGAAAGCTATTGGGGGAGAGCGAGGTTAACAATCCTGGAGCCACTGAGACATCCGGAGAGGTAGAAGGGATGGAGCCAACCTCGCCTGTTAAGGGAAGTGGGCAGCAGGCTCTCTCTCGCTCTCTCTCTCTCACACACACACACACACAACACACACACACACACACACGGGGAGGGGGAGTAGAGGTGGGAGGGCAGCACTTCTGGGCCTCAGAAAAGGAGCCGAGCGAGGAGGAGGAGGAGGAGGAGGAGGAGGAGGAGGAGGCAGGCCGGGCTGAGAGCTGGCACGGCTGGCATGCGTGGCCACACAGCCAGAGGGGAAGCGCCAAGGAGGCACAAGCCGAGAGGTACCTGATGCCCCTGGGGGGCTTCCTGCCATGTGGAGAAAATGAGGGAGGGTCAGAACAGAAGCAGGAGGGAGACGGATGGAGAAACCAAAGTGAAAACAATCAGGCAGAAAACAAGCCGAGCGAGCGCCGGAGCAGAGCTGGGAGAGGAGGAGGAAGAAGAAAGGGAGCCCACCTAAGTGGCTCAGCTCTTGGCACGGCCCCCCCTCTCCCCCACGGCCGGGCAAGGGGGGCAGCCCCTGCCCACGTGACTCAGCCCCACCAGTGCACCTTACAAAGCACCTGGACGAGAGCAGCGGCCGTGGGGCCCTCAAACTGCCTCACCGGCACAAGCAAGCTCAAGAGAATGTACAATAACAAGAGTTGGAAGGGACCCTGGAGGTCTTCTAGTCCAGCCTCCTGCTCAAGCAGAAGACCCTATACCCTTTCAGACAGATGGCTGTCCAATCCCTTCTTAAAAACCTTCAGTGACGGAGCACCCACAACTTCTGGTGGCAAGCAGTTCCACCGGTTAATTTCCTCACTGTTAGGTAGTTTCTCCTTAATTCCAGGTTACTTCTCTCCTTGATTGGTTGTTGTTTTTTGTCCTGCCTTCAGGTGCTTTGGAGAAAAGGTTGAGCCCATTCTCTGTGTTAGCGCTCCCAAATACTGGAAGACTGCTGTCATGTCCCCCCTGGTCCTTCCCTCTAGACAGACCCAGTTCTTGCAACGGCTCTTTATATGTTTTAGCTTCCAATCCCCCCCCCCCCCCCGCGATAATCCTTATTGCTTTTCTCTGCCCTCTTTCCAGATCATCTTTTCTACATGGTGATGACCAACACTGGATGCCGTATTCCAAGTGGGGTCTCGCCAAGGCCTTACAAAGCGGTCCTAGAGTGAAGGGACCCTTCCTCACATGCTTCTGCCAAGTGAGGAAGACCCCTCCCAGGAAATGAGGCGGTCCCTCCAACTCACCCAATGGGTCAGCATCCCTGCCTCGGGCAAACTAATCCAAGGGCTCTGGAAATACAGTGCTGGTGCTTTGCCTTTAGAAACAGGCCCAGCCCCAGAGCATCCCTTGGCAAGCTCCCGGCGGCCTCCGTCTGCCCCTCTGCTGCTCCAGGGGAGAGGGCTCGGGGCCCATGGTCGTGCCAAATGTAGGCGCCCCGATGGTTCCTGGCCTCCTCCCCCTCCAGCAGCTGAGGCTCTGGTGCCTTGACCTTTGCCCCTCCCCCAGGGGCTCCTAACTACCCTAAGGAAGGCTAGTTGTCCCTCCGGGTCTCAGGGACCCCTTTGAGCGATCCCTTCGCCCTGCTCTTCAACCGCCAGAGGGCTGTGCTGGGATGGCGCCCAGAGTGGCGGGTGGGAGGGGCTCTCTCCCAGGGAGCAAAGAGGCAGAAGGGCCTGGCATCTCCGGTGGGCAGAAAGAGGGCGAAGGCGGGGCCTTCCCTGGCAGTTTGCAGGGTGGATCTAATCGTTATGCAGGCAAGGGCCTTAGCCTGGCAAGATGTCTACCTGTAGGCCAGCAGCCGTAAACAAACTGCTCTGAGGGAAACTCTCGGCTCCTCGGGCCTGGCACGGACGGGGATGGGGGCACCCCAAAGCCGCAGCGCTCCGAGAGGCCGAGGCAGCTGGCCTGCAAGCCTCAGGTGCCGGGCGAGGGAGAGCCCTTGGGTGCTGGGGAGGAGGGGGCTCGGGGCTGGCGGTCAGCGAGTCAAGAGGCAGAGAGACGCTCCTGCCCTCAGGGCTCCCTTTCAGGGAACGGCCTCACCTGTTCCAGGTCTTGAAAGCGTTACTGGCTCGCTTGAAGAGGTAGCCCTCCATGACGATGCCGTTCACCGCATCGACGTTGTACTCGAGCTTCAGGTCGTCGCTGGAGAAGCCCTGGCACAAAGAGAAGACCCCCGTCAGCCTCTGCAGGGCAGCCGGAGCTGCTTCTCAGCTCACCTGGCAGGGAGGGAGGTGGGCCGGGTGCCACACCTGGGGTCCCCCAGGTCTTTCCCTGGCTTCCTGCAGCAGCCCGAGGAAAGGGCAGGGAGGACTCCAGGCCAAGGACAGGGCCGGGTGCCCAGGAGCCTCTGACTCGCTGCCCGGGGTCCCCCACGCTGTCCACAGGGCCCCCCTCTGGAACTCCTCATGAAGGAGAGGTCAGGCAACGAAGTATGCAAGCAGATCACCACACTCGGTGCACACCGAGGACTCGGACGCTGCGGAGGCTCTCTATCGGCACAAGGAGATTTGCAAGGGGGGGGGAGTCCCCTCCCGGCCATTGCTTCAGCATTGCCCTACAGCTAGAAAAGCACCCAGAGGCTTCAATGGGTCCAGCACAGGGCAGCAGCTGTGGCACTGATGGATGCACCTCATCATGCCCACGTAGACCTTGCAAGCTGCGCTGGCTCAGTGGGCTTCCAGGTGTGACTGAAGCGGTTGGGGGCCATGTTTAAAGCCCCTAGGGCAGGGGGCCGGTTCCCCGAGGGCCGCTTTCTCCCAAGGTTTGCCCGCTCCCGCAGGGAGGGCGTGCAACTGGCTCCTCCTCCAAGTCTTGTCCTCTTATAAGACTTGTGCCTTTTCTGGGGCTGCCCCTTTTCTCCACCATGGCCTCCGACAGAGGCGGGCCAGAACTCTCCCCCCCTTTAGGGAAGCCGTGAAGAAGACCTGGCTCTTCTCCCAGGAATTACGGCCACCTGGGCGGGAGTCCTCCAGCCGGCTCTCTCGGGTGCCACTCTGCACTTGAGCTCTGCACGTCTATCGTCTATCTAACGTCTCTCCCTCTCTATTTATCTGTCTGTCTATCTGTCATCTATATCTATTTTATTAAATCTCCTTTGATCTTGCTTTGAAGCAACTCTGGGTGGCTTTCCCCCCAAATAAGATCTAACCGGAAAATAAGCCCTAAGGCGTCTTTTGGAGCAAAAATTATATAAGACCCAGTCTTATTTTCAGGGAAACACGTCAGCATTAAAAGCTGCAAAACCATAAAATGTCCCAAGGCTGCTTTTCCAAAAGGCAAGTGGACTTTGTTTTTCCTCATACACGAGGTGAAACGCCTTCAAGGAAAAACAAAGCCCAGCTGCCTTTTGAAAAAGCAGCCTTGGGACAACCGTGGCCTGAATGACTGAGAATCTCCAGACATAAAACTATCAAAAAATTAATATTTCTAAAAACAACAAAAATGGAATTACAATCCAAAGTAAAGTTACGGTTAACAGATGGGGAGGGAGGGAGGGAGGGAGGGAGCAGGGTTCATTGAACAGCCGGGTTACTGCCTGGTCAGCTGCAATGATTCGCTTGGCAGCCGCGGCGACACAAATCACACAATGGGGCAAAACTCACTTCACAAATTTCTCACTTAGCCACATAAATTCTGGACTCAATTGTGTGCTCATAAGACGAGGACTACCTGTATAGTCTAGAATAAGCATAAAACAGTAATTCAGCCTTTAAAAAAATCTGGGTGGGAACGGATATGGGAGGGTGCACACTGAAAGAAGAATTAATTAATGGAGGAATAGAATTAATAGAGACATTAATAGAGGGATAAAACCAAGATCAAGTTAGCATCAAGGTCTAATGCCGCTTTACAAGGCCTTGGTTAAGACCACACTTGGAATATTGCAAGTGATATGAGAAAGATGTTGAGACTTTAGAAAGAGCATAGAGAAGAGCAACAAAGATGATTAGGGGATGATTAAGCTAAAACATATGAAGAACGGTTGCAGGAATTGGGGATGTCCAGTCTAACGTAGAGAAGGACCAGGGGTGACATGATAGCAGTATCCCAGTATTTGAGGGGCTACCAGAAAGATGAGGAGGGGGTCAACCTATTTTCCAAAGGACCGGAAAACGAGACAAGAAACAATGGATGCAAACTGACCAAGGAGAGAAGCAATCTGGAATGAGAAACTTCCCAACAGCGAAGACAAGCAGTGGAACAGAAGTTGCCTCCAGAAGTTGTGGGTGCTCCATCATTGGAGGCTTTTAAGAAAATACCGGACAGCCATTTGTCTGAAATGGTATAGGGTCTCTTGCTCGAGCAGGGGACTGGACTAGATGACCTCCAAGGTCCCTTCCAATTCTATCATTCTACCTTAGGATGCACGGTGTGTGTGTGTGCGCGCGAAGAGGTGGGATTTTTTCTTAATCCATTAACCACCTCCACCCTGATGCTCCCCCGCTGGGGCTGCCGGGCATCCGGCACAGCCAGGTGTTCTGGCCCTTGTGGAAGGTCGGGAGGGTGAGAGCCCATCTCACCTCAGGGGGTGAGATGATCCAAAGGGCAGGAGCCACGGCGGAGAAGGCCCTTCTCTGGGACCCCACCAGCTGAAATTCCCTGACTGGGTGGGCTGCAGCATGCCTCCTCTGCAGCCGCACAGGCCACTCCCACTGGGGGTGAGACGGTCTGTCATGTAGCCTGGACCCCTGCTTGGGAGGGCTTTCAAGGGGATCACCAACACCCTGAATTGCACCTGGCAGCCGATGCAGCTGGCAGAGCAGTGGTGTAACAAGAGCCATTCTTGGGGTCCCCCAAACTGCCTGTTTATTGTAAGACAGCTGTCTTTTTGGTAGAATAGAATAGAATAGAATAGAATCTGGAGGTCTTCTAGTCCAGCCCCCTGCTCAAGCAGGAGAACCTATACCATCTCAGACAAGTGATTGTCCAGTCTCTTGTTAAAACCTCCAGTGATGGAGCGCCCACGATTTCTGGTGGCAAGCCAGTCCACTGGTTGATTGTCCTCACTGTTAGGAAGTTTCTCCTTAATTCCAGGTTGCTTCTCTCTCTGGTCAGTTTCCAACCATTGTTTCTCATCCTTCCCTCTGGTGCTCTGGTGAACGTGACCCCGTCTTTGTGGCAGCCCCTCAGATACTGGAATAACTGCTATCACGTCTCCATTTCTTTTCTTTAGACTAGCCAAACCCAAGTCCTGCAGCCGTTCTTCATATGTTTTAGCCTCCAGGTCTTTGATCATCTTAGTTGCTCTTCTCTGAATTTTTTCCAAACTCTCAACATCTTTTTTGTGATATGGTGACCAAAATTGGCTGCAGTATTCCAGGTATGGTCTTACTAGAGTTTTATAAAGTGGTACTAATACCTCGCGTGATCTTGACTCTATACCTGTTTATACAACCCAGGATTTTATTAGCTTTTTTCCACTAGGATTTTAACCCTAACCCTAACCCTCTCACAGTTACTATTTTTCAGCCAGCTCTCATCCAATCTGTATTTGTGCCTTTGGTTTTTCCTGCCTAAATGTAAAACTTTGCTTTTCTCCACATTGAAACTCATTTTGTTGGATAGGGCCCATTGTTCAGGTTTCTCCTTTTTGGATCCTGAGTTTGTCTTCTGGGGAGTTGGCTACTCCTGACAGTTTGGTGTCATCTGAAAATTTGATAAGTTCCCTTTCAATTCCCTCCACTAAGTCATTGATGAAGATATTGAAGAGTTTACTGGGCCTAAGACGGAGCCTTGTGGTACCCCACTGCTTACTTCTCTCCATGTGGATGTAGTGCCATTGAGGACTACTCATGCAGTACGGTTTGTCAGCCAGCTACAGATCCATCTGGTGGTGAAGTCGTCTATTCCATCTTTTTTTAGCTTACCAAGGAGTAGGTTATGGTCTACTTTGTCAAATGCCTTGCTGAAATCTAAGTATACTATGTCCACAGCGTTTCGCTGGTCTACTAGTTTAGTAACTTTATCAAAGAACGAGATAAGATTGGTTTGGCATGATCTGTTTTTAACAAACCTGTGCTGGCTACTAGTTATGACTTTGTTTGCTTCTAGTTGTTCTATATTCTAGTTGTTCTATTTACGTCTATAGGTTGTACACTGCACAAAGTCACACAGTCTGAGTGGGGTGACCTTGTAGATCTTGAAACCAACCACCCTTTTTTCTTGCAGAGAGGACGGCAGGCCCCTGGCTGTGTCTACCCAGATTATTTTGCATGGTGGTCAGAACAATTCCGGGGATCAAGACAAGGCTTTGCTCTGGGCATGCCAGTTTTCCGTGAAAAAAGAAAAAGAAAATAAAAACCAGAAGAGAGGCAGAGAGAGGCTAGGTGTGGGCACCATGGTGCCTGATCCTTTCCTGCCCACAAAGTGCCGGATCCATCCCTGCTCTTCCCAAAGCCTCATGGCAGAACTGACCACACCGTTTCTCCTTCATGAAAACCAGGAATGGGGCGGACGGGAGCGGAGCCAGGGGAATTCAGGCTGGGCCCGAATCGAATCCAGCAAATATGGACAATTAAAATGTTGTATTTCTCCTTAAGATTAAACCGTTATAACCATCCCAAATGACAGTTTCATTGCTTTAGCACACTCTGAAGGATTATTCTGTTCCTTTTTCTGTTTTCAATGTTTTATTGATCCCCGCCTAAATACTTTTTTAAACTGCCAGTGAGGTATCAGCCGTTACTTCTGTTTTACCCGGCATGGCAGGAAAAGAGCAGAGGATTTACCAGCAGCCCTTGCTTCAAGATGGGAGCCCAGGTCCCTCTCTGGAGAACATGCCACCCCCGGGGCAGAGGCTGGGCCCCTGAGCCAGGCCGGGGTCACTTTTCCCTGGGTGTCAAAGCAGCGTCTGGCCTAAAGCCACGGAGCTGCCCCCCCTCCTGCTGCTCAGCGCTTGAGACACCCGGAGAGCAGGCGCCTGCCTCTCCACAGGGACATCCAGACTCCCAAGGGCAATGGCGCCCGGCACCAAGGGGGCGGGCCTTGGGGCAATTCACCTGGGCGATGACGGAGGCCTCCCCAGGCTCCCCTGGCCCCACCTGCAGTGGAGGAGGCAAAGCTCCCCTTTCCTCCACACAGCGGCCGCCCCGTCCCCACCAGCCCCATTGAGAGCGGTCTCTGACAGGGTGAGACGGAGGTTTGCTCCGCTGCCACCAAAGGCGGGGGTGGGTGAGTGGGTGGTTTCCCCAGCCAAGGCTGCTCTTCCGTGGACTCCCGCACGCAGCTGCCCTGACCCGCTGGGGGCAGTGGGCCCTTGACCCGCAAGAGCCCACAGGTGGGGCACGCGCTCTCGGCCGGCACGCCCTCCGGTACCTTCTGCTGAATGGTGGAGTGCTTCTGCTCCATCTCCTTCTTTTCCCTGGCCGCGTCCAGAGCCAGCCGGTCCAGCTGCAGAAAGGACAAGAAGCCCACAGAGCCTTGGGTTTCATGCGCCCGAGGGGAGCTGCCCTTCCCCGGGTTTACCTGGACAGGTGAGGAGGCCCTGCCCCTCCCCCACCACGCTGGGTCAAGCTCTGCCTCTCCCTGCCTTTCTGGGGGGGGGGGCTGGAGTCCAGGGAGCTCCGGGGTGCCGAGCACATGCGGCTGGACTAGCGCATCGCTTTGGGCTGGAGAAAAGGATGACTCATGCAGCCTTCGCAGCCTCGGCTGCCTGGCCAGAGCCACCAGGAGAGCAGCAGCAGCAGCGGAGGCAGCAGTGCTGGGCTCTGGCCATGGTGCAGGAGGGAGAGCTCTGCTCAGCGCCTGGCGTGAAGCTCCTGCCAGCAGCTGAGGGTTCGGGGGCTTCTGGACCGATCTCAACCCCACCTGAGGTTGCCAGGAGCAGCCACAGCAAAATCCTCCAAGGCTGGGAGAGCAGGGGGGCCCTCTGGGCCTCCCACTGGGGACAAGGAAGGGGAGCTGCTCTGGCAGCAGGAAGATGGCCGGCCGCAGAAACACTCTGTCCTTGGGTCAGTCTCTCTTCCCTCGTGGGCTGACTTTCCGCCCTCAGGGCTCGCGCCCCCCCTCACAGCCCTGCCTCTGGGGCACCCCCTGCCTCCCCTTCCCTGGAGCAGCCCCGTCCCTCCCTCCCTCGTTACCTGAGCGCCCAGGTCCTTCATGTAGGGCCCCAGTTCACTGAACAGGTCGTAGCCTTGGTGGAAGAAGGCCAGGTGGGCACACATGAAGGACAGCATCTACGGGAGGGGGGGAGGGGGGAGAGAGGCAGATGAGGCGGGCGGCCCCTCTCCAAACCTCGCAGGGGGAGGGGAGGCTGGGACCTTTCCCTTTCCAGACCCAGGAGGGCAGCAGGCGCTTGAAACACCAACACCCGTGGAAGCCACCTCCGTCTTCGCTGAACCCGTCTGAGCACTTCGGGGATAATGGGCTAGATAGTTCCTCTATGGGTTGTAGAGGCCTTATATCAGATGACTCACCCACCCAACCCAATTTTGCGACCTCTTTTATGGCACGTCAAGCGACTGCCAGCTTTTCATAACACAAACCAACGGATCACTATGGGCGGTTTTGCCAAAAAACAGAAGTAAATGTCGGGCTTTGGCAAAACCACTGTAAACCACAGTCGTGAGACTGTGAGATACCGCAAACCATGAATGTGATCACAAGAAAGTGTGTGTGGGGGGGTTGTCCACCGGAACTTCAGAACAGGTTTGTAAGCCCCCTTGGGGAGGGGTCTGTGGGGCCACCAGCGCTTTCCCCTCTGCACAGCGGACCCACCTACCGACTTCAGGATCTCCGACCGCCTCTTGGATTGGAGAACGTTGATCTGGGAGAGGGAGAGAGAGCCATTTGCTTCGCTGAGTGAGGGGAGAAGAGGGCGGGGAGGGGACCCTGCAGTGGACGGCAGGCAGGCCCTGCCTTGCAGGGGAGGGGGCTCTGGGAAAAGTTCCCCATTGCTCCCAAGAGAAGCTCAGCGGGAATTTCAGGCTGAGGAAGGCAGGCAGGCTGGCAAGGTGGCGGTCAAGCCTCACCAAGGAACTGACCAGTCAGCAGGGCTGCCCTCTCGCCTCCCAGGACCCCTAGCGGCAAAGACCCCACTTCCACTGCTCTTCACCCAGCCCCCTCTTCCCCCCTCCCCCTCCCAGAGGCTTCTTCATCCAAAGGAGGCCTGCCTTCCTCCTCCTCCTCTTCCTCCTGGATAGGAGCCGGCTGCCCCTCCCGCCATAGCCAAATCGAGCAGGACCCCCAGCTCTGTCCCAGCCGGCCCCCCTGGCCCAGGGCTCCCCAGCCCTCCCTGGCTGGACGCCCCCCCCCCGCGCCAGGCTGACCTGCAGCACGTAGTCCAGCGCGATGTGCCGGAAGCACTTCCGGGTGGCGGTGAGGATGTTGGTGGCCTCCTCGACTTCGTGCTGCTTGTTCCTGGGCGCCTGGGCGTTCTTGGCCAAGGCGTTCTCCTTCTCCTCGCTCACTTTCTCAAACTGCTTCTTGGCATCTTTGAACTTCCGGATGTCTCTGATGCGCGTGGGGGAAATAAGACGGCCAGCTTCCCTCCAGCCTTTCCCACCAGAGCCCCGCCCTGAGCAGGATTCAAGGGGGGGACCCACTCCTTTCCCCAAGAGATTCGGTGGGGGCCTCTGTCCGCGTGGAAAGGGGGCCCAAGGGATTCTTGCTGCAAGCGGGTCACGAGAGGGTCCCTTCCACACCCTCCAGAACGGCTGAGCAATGGGCGGGCGGCTGGCCTTCCGGACGTGGGCCGCCTGAGCTGCTGGAGGAAAATATCAAACTGCCTCCCACCTCTGAACCCCCCCCCCCATTCCCCCACCTGCCCACCCACCAGGATGACCTGGAAGACTCCCGGCAAAGCCACACTCTGCACAAAAGGGGTCCCAAACGAGGGAGTTGCGCTGCTTTCGGCCTTGCACCGACACCAGAGCCAGCACACACATTCAGGGACATCCCCCCCCCCAGCACTTTTGGTGTCCTTAAGTCTGCCCTGCACTCTCCTCTCCCCCCCCCCCTTGTGCACAACGTCTCCCTTGGCCTCAGCCAGGCTCCCATCACGCCTCCGTCTTGGCAAAAATGAAAGTTCACTTACTCTTTAACAAACATCTGCAGCTGTGCTTTAATGGACCTCTGGGTCTGGTCAAAGAGGATCTGAAAGGGGAAAAAGCTCAGGCCGAGAGAAGCACCTTCCACACAGCAGCCCCCAGCAACCACTTTGCATCTGCTGGTCTTCGGCAGAGGCTTCTGCTACTCTCCATGTGGGCAACAGCCCAGTTTAAAAACAAAAAAAAAAACAAAAACTTGCCTGCTATAATTTGCCTTTGTTAATAGTTTTTTTTATGTCATCACGCATTGCAACATCTCTTTATTTATTTATTTGGCTTTTACACAACTTTCATTTTAGCAGACTGTTTGAGTGGACGGCAGCGCAATAAACTGAGTCCAACCTATGGATGCAACATATTGAAATGGGCCAACAGAAGGTGGCCTCTTCAGCCATTCGCAGCCCTTCCTCCTGGCTTGCTGGGACCCCCTCAGACCACAAGGGGTTACTCCCTCCCAGCACTCCCGGCCCACACATGAGCCTGAAGCCCTGAAGGGCAAAGGAGACTCCGCAGAGCCCCCTGTGGGGCCATGGCCAGGGAGGGGGGGTCAGATGCCCTGGGGCCCCCTTCCACTCCTTCTGTGAACCGGGGTCTGGCTGCTGAGCTAGCAGCAGCCCGGTGGACTCTTGAGCTGCGCTGCTCTGCCAAAGAGGGAGAGCGGCCACCTTAACTAAGGGGACTCACTCAGAAGAAACCCAAGACCGCTTCAACCAAAGGGGGGGGCTTGCAAGCAAAACCCCACTGAATTGGCTCAACACCTCCCCCCCGCAGCCTAAGCTCTCTCTCCAAACAGCTTCACCCTTCACTGACCCTTGTTGGCCCCACTTGGACAGTTGCAGAAGGATATTTCCCATTAATGGAGACTCAGCTGGGATTTAAAAGCCGCCCCCTCCCCCTCCAAGAGTGGCCCTCTTGGGCTCTGCTCCTGCCCACATCAAGATGTCCTTTCCCACAAGCCTGCATAACGAAGGAAACATTTCAAAAGTCTGGCTGCCCACTCCCACCCCCACCCGTCCCATGCGCTTCGGAGGGAGGGCAGGGCAGTGTTCCAGACGGGAGGCCACGGCAGCAGGAGCCCCGTGCCAAGAGCAGCGTTCCAGGAAGTCTGCTGGAAGTACTGAGTCACCCGCTCGCCATGCGAGTTCACAAGTAACTTTAAAAAGAGGCACCCAAAGTCCACGAAGGGCATCCAGACGTGGTTACAGCCAACCCCTCGCTTGTCAGATATGTTCCACCTTCTGCCCGACGAGGGTGCTTCCAAAACTTACCGTGTGGTAATTGATCATCTCCTGGAGGCTGTCGGAGAACTTTGACAAGCTGCCCTAGGAGGGGAAAAGGGGAGGGATGAAAAGCAGCACCCAAGAGAAGAGGCCCAGCATCTCCTCCTGAAGACCCAACGGGCTCCCACCCACCCACCCTCAGCATCCAGGCTGACGGCCGCACTCGGGACCAGGGACTCGCCAGGCGGCTGGAGGCTCCAGGGACACTGAGGGGTGAAGGAGCAGCCGTGCCTTGCCTGAGCCTCTGAGGAGGCAACCCGGGAAGCCCCAGGAGCCAAGGAGAGGCTGGCCTAACCTGACCCCCCTGGAGCTCAGCTCTTTCCCCCTCCCGGGCCCAGATCTGGACGGGAACCTCCTCCCCCCCGCCGCCACCACTTACCTCCACCAGGTCATCCCTGCTGGAGTAATGGGCCAGATCCCGGAGGCCATGGATGAACTGCTTGTTTGCCACACAAAAGGCCTTCCCGGTGTCAATCATGACAATGCAGAGCTTCACCAGCTGGAAGAAGAGCAAACGCCCTCAGGCCCTGCCTCTGAGCGCCCAGGGCGGGGGGGGGCAGGCCTCCTCCAGCAAGGCCTGGATGGAAGTGGGTCGCCCTTGTCGCTCTCTGCTAAACTGGGGACCGCTTCCAATCCCCCCCCCGTTCTTGCCCTTCCACCATGCTCTCCTTCCTGGGTGGGCATCTGGTGACTCCTCTTTTATCCTCCCAGTAAAATCCCGAGATCCCTCAGCACCGCCTTGGAAGCCCAGGCTGAACTCAGGTCCTCCGCCTATCCCCCCCCACCCGTATCTCTGTCTCCCCAGAGAGGGAGGCGACTGAGGGACATCAAGGTCCAGGGTATCCCCCTGCGCAGGTGGGCCTGCCTGGACCGGCAGGCTCCCACGCTCAGCTGCTCCGGAGGACCCAGGCCAGCCCATGGGACCCTCCCCAAGGACCAAGGACCCCCCCCAGGGGGCTCGCCACATGAAGCCCTGCCCTCCCCCCTGGGCTAGGCCTGGGCTTCTGCTCAGTCCGGGCTCCAGATGCCCCTTTCCAGGGAGAACTTCCCCTTTCCTGCCAGTTCTTTATTCCGGGGCAGCGTGACTCATCCATCTGCCACAGAGAGGAAGTCAAGGCCGAACTCAGGCTCCTCTGCGAGAGAGAGAGAGAGAGAGCTGCAGGCAGAGAGAGCCTCGGTTCGCCCCCCCCCCAATGTCTCAGACTATTGCAGTATCCCCATGGTCATGTGATCAAAATTCAGACGCTTGGCAACTGACTCCTATTTATGACGTCTGGATCGACGTATCCCACACATAACCAATCAATCTGTGGCTACCGAGCTTCATTAACTGGGGACTGGCCACCCACCCTTTCATGGCCGGCCAATCTGGGGGTTCCCAGCCCTCCCCCCCAAGAAGGCCTTGACACACTTCGCTCTTCTAGTAGAGGAACGTCCGTTTACCCCTCCCCATCCCTGGCCTTCCGGTTCATTCTTTCATGGGTCTTAAAGGTCTAATTATGTCCCTCTCCGACTTTGGGGGTTCACTTTGTTAAAAAACATCACAGTTTTATTTATTACAACCTTTTTTAATGTTTAGACTGACTACATCCATTTGTTGTGCCAGCGAACTATGTTTCAAAAGCTGCTGGGGGTTGTGACCCTGTGCCTGCCGTGGTCAGCAGAGCCCCTCTCCCACCCACCCACCCAGCCAGCAGAGGCAGCCCAGGTGAGGCCCTCGCTTCTCCAGCAGCCACCAGCCATCCTGCTGCAGGGAAACAGCCAAGATGACATATGGCCGCCTGGGATGGTTTTCTGGCTAGCGGTCCAGAGTCTTATTGTTGGACTGCAACAAAGCAATCCACTTATCCCGAATGGCCCCAATTCAGCCACAAACCCTCCTTGCTGGTGGAGGAACGGCAAGGAGGGGAGGCAGGAACAAGCCAGGGGCCAAGGCCAGTCGGGGACAACAAGGCTCCTAAGCAGCACCTCCGCCCAGGCCACAAAAGGCCTTTCGAATTCAAGAGAGGATGCCCCAATTAACTCCCTCTAAATCAGGGCAGGGAACTCCTGTCAGAGCTTCCACGATTCTGCATTTGCCCCAAAAACAGACGGCCAGAGGTAATTGGGATGGCGCTCGCTTGTTAGCGCTCCCCCAGCTGTGCAGGGCTCAATATCCCTCTCGGAAACTGCAGGGTAGCTCAGCACCTCAAGGGGTCACTGGGGCAGATGCAGCCTAGAGGCTTCAGTAAGGGGAGCCAGGCGAAAATCTTGACCATGGTGCTCCCCCATGGAGGAAACGGAGCCAAGCGGCAGGCAGGATTCCACCCCTGGACGGATTCGCCAGCGGTGAACAGCCTACACGAGAAGGTCTATAAGGATCCACACTGGGGGAGGAGGCTCTCTCCTGGTGCCCTTTGACAGGTTTATAAATGGGGGACAAAACCCCAACTTCCCTGGTGCCCCTACCGGCTTCTGTCTCTTAACCAGGGTTGACCCCTCCTCTCCCCACTCTCTCGCTCAGCTGAGCGCAGCACAGCCCCTGGAAGAGCCCCACCCACAAGAGCAAAGCCTCTCCAGACCGGCTCCGGGGGCCAGGAGGAAGGAAGAAGCTGCCTGCACTTCTGAAAGCCTTCCACGCTCCCCAGAGAGCACGCCAGGCATCAAAGTGGGGCAGAACTCTCGCCAGTCTCTCTTCTACACTTCCCAGAGATCATGGACGGACCTTTTGGCAATAGGAGGGCACCCTGCCAGCTCGCCTACTTCTGGGCAAGGGTGAATGGTGGGGCCTACAAGCCCTGTCACCACTGAGGGAAAGAACTGCTTATCCAAGACTTGTGAGCAGCACGGAAAGCAGAAGTGGGGAGAAACTCCCTCGGAGGCTGCACTTCCATGGGCCTGGGCCATAGGGGAAGCGTTTACCTCCAGGCCTCAGGCCTCCAGCTGGCCTGCAGCAAGCCCTTGGGCGGGGAGGAAGGGGGCAAAGGCTTCCCAGAATTGAAAAGACAAAGCTCAACACGAAAGGTGACAAGCCCCTCCAGAGCCTCAGCCAAAGCTGCACCTCCTCCACCCTGCGGTCCTCACACCTTTTTCTCCTGCAGCGACAGGAGAGCAGCGACCCCCAAGGGGCAGAGCAGCTGCTAGAGGGCACATCTCACAAGTCGGAGGGAGGGAGGCATCATCAACACGGAGAAGACAACAACCGTTACTCAGTGTCTCCACCCTGTGCCAGCCGGAAATGCAGAAGCCTTGAGCGGCTGCTGACCAGCTGAGCAGGCTCAGGCTAAACCCAAGTGGAGTGGAGAGCAGTCCACGGCTTGGCTGGTTCTGAGGTGCTCCCCTTGTTGGTTCTCGAGGAGCCCGTCCCCCTCCCGTGAAAGATCGGTCTGTACTGGCAGCTCCTACAAGGCCAGCAGGGTGAAAACTGTGGCCGGGAGGCCTTTGCCTGGCTGCAGCTGGTGTACTTCACTTGTATTAAGTGCTGCTCTGCTATCGCTGCTTTACTATCTTTGTAAGTGCCTGAGATACGATTCAATCAAAATGCCATAGTGATTATGGTCATCAGTAAGCCAAGCCCCTTCTACCCATTATTTAACTGGATGCACACTCATTTTATGGAGGAAGGTCTTCATTTGCAAATACTCCCCACAAATGGCACCCCAGGCAAGCTTTGAACATATGTGAAGAACAGGATGCGAGGGTCAAGTCCAATTCTAAAGCCAGGCATGCAAATCGCTGCCCTCCTGCAAATTGCCAGACGGGGTTCCCATCTATCTCAGGGCAAACGGGACTGCCAACCAGGCCAGTTATTTCGTGAGGCTTCCTCTAAGCCAACCTTCCTTCCAAAACAGGATCCGCAGAGGGAAATACAACCGGTGTGTGCCAAAGGGAGCGGAGGGGCCCAGCGAAGAGACCGTTCACGCGGGGACAGAGGTTCTAAGTCCCAGAATTGAAAAGAAGAGTTACAAAACGCAGAAGGAAAAGCAAAGATGGGTGGGTGATCCGGAAGGGCTCCGTTGCCCCCAATGGGTAAGGGGGAGCCCCTCGACTCGGTCCCAGAGCCAGGTTTGCTCACCTTGTCCAGCTTCAGCTCCAGCTCAGTGACGTCTCCTTCCACGTCCTCCAGGGCAGCCCTGCAAGGCGGGACATGAGATTCCATCAGCACTGATTTGTGCTGCCTTCAGTCCGGAAAAGTCCCAATCATTAACTATCGAAGCAAATTTTTTACAAAGGGGAATCAGAGCTGCACTGATGTCCTAAGCAGAGGGAAGCCACCGTCTGGCTTGAGACCGAGAGCCTCGGGGGATCTCCAACGGCTCAGGTCCCTTCCTCATCTGAGGAAGGCTTTCGGAATCCCTCTCCGGAGGATTCTGCCCTCCTGCTTCTTAATCCGGGCCTTCGGGGAACGAAGGAGCCAGATGCTCAGCAGCGGCTGCTCCTCCTTTCCGCGGCTCCCTTGCACGGTGTAGATGCATCATCAGCGCTCCGACCCGGGCACCCTCCCCCTCCCCGGGGTGGGGGGGATGAGGGCCAAGGAGGGGCGCTCCTGCCGGGTCCAGGGGAGAAGCCCGGAGCAGCACCGCTTCTCCACCCCCTGATGAACGCACCGGGAGCAGGACCCTCCTGGGGGGGGGGGGACTCGGGGCTTCCCCCCTTTGGAGACCCCCCAAATTCGGGGGGCGGCGTGGCTGGGACCCGACCCGCGCTGGACGAGGGAGCCTTTGCGGCCCGGCGCCCGCGCGGTTGACCGTCTGCCCGGTCTCTGGGCCCCGGCCCCGGGGCTTCCCGGAGCTGCGACGGAAGGGAGCGGGCGAACCGGGTCCGGGGGGGGGCGTCCCGCTGCGAAACCGGGGGGCGCCGAGGGGGCCTCCTCCAAGACGCGCCTCCCTCGCCCCCGCCCCCTTCCAGCCTCGGAGCCGGGACGGGCCCCCTCCGGAGGACGCGGGCCCGGGGGGAGCGGAGGGCCCTACCGGAAGCGGGGCGAGTCCTTCAGGCACTCCTCGAAGTCAACGGCCACCCGCATCCCGACCGCCGAGTCCGCGCTTCCGGCTCCGCGAGACTGGACGCCGGGGGAGGGGGCAGAGGCAGCCCCGCCCACCCCTGGAGAGGGGCGGGCGCTTCCCGAAAACCAATCCGGGCCGCTGAGCGGAGGGCTTCCGTACGCCGCCCTCTCAAGCCGTGACGGGCGCCGTCGAGATCCAACCGCGCGAGGCCTCCTACCCTCCGCGCCAATCACGGACCGCCAGGGACGATTGTCCAATCGGCTTTATCCAAAGCGCCGCCAATCCACGAGGAGCGTCGTCACGGCGAGGCCGCCAGCTGAAACTTCAATTCCCGTCGGCCCTCCGCAGCTGCGCCTCGTTCGCGTGGCCGAGGATCCCGAGCAGTGGGCTCAGCTTTCGGCTGCCTGCCCGACGGCGGGAGGCGCGGCTGCGGCCCCTTTCGCGGCCCGAGCACGGGAACGGCCAGCCGTCAGCCCAGGAGCTCCCCTCCCCCGCCGGGGCCGCCGCGAAAGACGCCAAGCGGGGGGGGTCAAAGCAGCTTGGTGGGCTCTCTGGTCCCCCCTCCCCGCCCCTCTTTCCAGCCAGCGCTTCCCTCTGCTTCTCTCGCGGGTTTCAGCGACAATGCTGGCTTTTTGGTGTCCCTGCCGAGCCCTCTTGTGGTCAGCTGCGGAGAGCAGTCAAGATGGACTGCATAAGCTCAGAGTCGCCTCGCAGCAACATGGGGAGGGGGCAGAACACACGAATTTAATAAGCTAAATCCGGGGACCCCGCCAGAAAAGCTCGGTTCCTCCTCGCAGGGGGACTCACCTGCCAGGGGTGCTGAGGGCAGCGGGGGGGGGGGAGGTAATGGGGAGAGGAGCCTCCAGGTTCACCCAGATCCCCACCCTGACTGGCCAGGGGAAGAGCGGCAGGGGCCAGAGGTAAATAAGGAGGGCCTGTGGAAGCCAGCTGGCCAGGTCCACTGCAGTGGCCTCCGTTCAGGCCAGGCCTCCCAAGGCGCTACGGACTCCCTGGGCTCTTCTCCTCATCTAAGACAGTGCCCCCCCCTCCCAACCTTTTGGACACCAGGGATTGGTTCTGTGGAGAGGTTTTCCACAGACCGGAGGGGGGGGCTGGTTTTGGCTGCATCCTGCGGAGGGGGCTTTGCTTGTTTGCGCCACCGAGTTTCTGGCATGTCAGACTGGTGTCAGTCCATGGACGGGGGGAGGGTTGGGGACGCCTGATCTAAGACAAAAAAACAGAGGGGAACAGAAGAGCAGAGTCCGGTCGGGACTCCAGGAATACAGTTCATTGGTGCCAAGCATCAGAGCAAGGTCACCCGCCTACGGGGATTTTGCCATTTCAGTCTCAAGTCATTTTGCCCCAAGGAGGGGCTATTCACCTGATCTGCTGGTTGGAAAATACACTTAGTGGTTTCTTTACTTTAATAAAACAGTTACATGGAGGAAACAAGCCAGTGAAATGGAATCCAGAAGTGAAGGAGCAAATTCAGTAGCACAACCTGGGTATTTTCTAGGCAACTTCAGCTTATTAGAACATTCGAAATAATTTTACAAACATTAGCTGACCAACAGATGCCCCTCCCACTTCCGAGGCTTAAAAAGCCCAAGTCTTAAGAAAATCACACAGGCCAGTCAAACTACAAAACAACTGTTTGATTCAGTTTCATTCATGACACGGAGAATGCAGAGGTTACCGCAAAAAAACTACAGGATAACATGGGGCTGTGGGAACGCTGCCTCTTCTAGTTAAGAAACAAAAGCAGGTGGCTGTGCATTCTGTATGGGCCACACCGGGGTCTCAAGAGGCGCTCTCTGGCTGCCGGGTGCTGTCACTTAACTTTTATTTTCTAGAGGCTGGCAGCCTCCGACCAGGTGGGAAGGCACCCTGAGAAGCAGAGTGATGGAGGAAAGAACCCCATATTGTGGTGTTCCCAATCCTGGCCAAAAAGGTACAGCAGCTACTGAGGCAGGCTGATCGACTCCCACCTCTGAACAGGCAGCTGGGGAAGCCACACCCAGCTGCTCTTTCCCTCTCGCCTGCCTCTCAGAACTGGCTGGATAAAGTCTGCAGGAGGGGAAGGGAAAAGGCTATAAAAACTCTCTCCCGTTCATCCCTTTTTGCAAAAGGCCTCGTCAGTTGCCAAGAGGCTCCTTCTTTTCCTGGCTGCAGTATGGCACATTAACATCAAGCCCTTATGGGGATATTTGTGTGTACTCAAATACTACAGCACGATAAAAGAGGTAATTGTCCAGAGGTTCAGACCAGGGAAAGGGGTGACACCGAAGGGTCTGGTTCACTGGCGCTACCCCACGCTGTGTTCTTCGGCAGATGAGCAACGAAACCTTCTTCTGTGACCACCAGAACCAGCCACATCAGCAACATTTTCACTGCCAAACAGAAAACCTTGAGATCACCACTGTTTTTGTCAAATATCAAAGTGCAAGCCAACCTGTTGAAACAGACCTGCAGAAGGGTGATGTGGCAAGGAATACAAAAGAGTGACGTTGGGAGCTATTACAGTCCTGAGCAGACTTCTTCTAGGCTGTGTGCCATGTTCTCAAGCGGGTCACTAGAAGCAGGTACTGTGGGGGAAAAAGAGAAGAGCAGAGGTGGGTGGTCACAGCAGGCAACATGAGGCATCCCAGCGGTGGGACAGGCCTTTGTTGTCTGTGAGGCAGACCAAGAAGCTTGCTAGTGGCAGGGAACCCTGCTGGGCTGTTTAAAACAACACACGTTAAGTTTCAACAGCACATTCCTAGTTTTTGAACTCTTAATATTTGCTGTGGAAATCAACAAATCCATGGACTTATCAGTCTTTCACGTGCCAATTCCTGAAATGAGACGGAGTGTCTGGTTTTCCGAGCAAATCCACAGAGCAAACTGTATCCCTAAGGGCACGTGCTACCCTTCACCCCCACATCCCCATTCAGGACTTTTGGGCTCCCAGTGGGGTTAAAATGGTCTTTCCATTGCCAAAATCTGCCTGTTGGACATGGCTGTAGGGGATCAAATGATCTGCTATTGCCCGACCGCAGCATCTCTCTACAACTGCTACTCCAGAAAATCCTAACTGGCAGAAAGCATACAACCCACCACCAGTGTCTGCTGTTGCCGATCCCACAAGCCTGACCCCCACATGGACGAAAGTGCTGGGAAGGGCCTGCCTACCGAGACTCTGATTTACGGACTATCCTGAAGCACAAAGGAAGCGGCCCAGCTCCTGCAGGCAGAGCACCGGAGGTGGCAGGATCACCCTCAGCGCCCCATTGTGGGAAGCACAGACCGGATCAGACTCAAGAGGCCCCCTCCGACCTCTTAGAGGGAGACTGTGATAAACGACAGGCTGATCAGGAGACAGAGACGCCTCTGCTTTAGTATTTTTTCTTGAACGTTTTTTAATCCCAATTAAGACTACACGTGAACTATTTACCTTTGTGCCATGTCACCTAGAGTCACCAACAGTTACCCCAAGGAAAAGGAAGATAAAGGCTTTGATTCTAGAAGGGAGAAAGGCTTTTAAAAGCGTCACCGAGGGAGCGCTGGGCCTTGTACCCCCGAGCTCTACCTACAGGAGTGTTCAGAGGCAGCAGAGGAGAGCTGAGGCCGAGGGGGCTTGCCCAACTCACAGCAGAAGCCTCTGACATCCAGAGACGGGACCCCAAGTTTTGGACTAGCCGGTAGCCTGCCAGCTACTGTGAAGAGGCTGCAGGGATTCCCCTCCTGCCCTGGTCATCTCCGATGGGCTTCTTGCATTTTACATGAGACCCCACCCCGAAAAGCAACTGGAGGCTTTAGCGGGATCAGCGCAGAGCCAGGCGGGCAGTTGCGAGCGCACTTTGATATGCCCATGTTACACCTCTACTTTGCGAGCTGCACTGACTGCTCGGGTGCCTAAGGCGGCAATTCACGATGATGGTTGTTGTGAACAAAGCCCTTCACAGCACAGGGCTGAGCTATTCATCTGATTGTTTCTACCTGCCCCACCACTTCCGACATAAGGGCCTCCTCCAAGTTCTGCCTAAACTGGGGAATATCATCCAGCAGGCCCTTTCCTTCAAGATCCATCTCTGCTGGCGTTTTGGAAAGTCTCAGTCACACGGCTGTTTTCTGGGAGGTTAATGGAGCCCCTGAGATGGAGGCGGCTTGTGACGGCCACTGTCTTTGGCTGCTGCTAAATGTGTATGCATTATTATTGCTACCGATCAGTTTCACGGGGTTTGATTCCATGTTAGCCACCCAGAGTTGCTGTTTCAAGATAGACGGCTGTTATCATTTTACTGAAATAGAAAAATGGCAGCTTTTGGATGGTCCCTGATGAACTGGTCCCTCGAGACCCCCAAGAAAACTTCTAGCCCCTTCTCCACTCGTGGATGAAACGTAAAGCAAAGATCTCGTCCAGAACCAGCATGATCAAGATTGACTAGGAATGTTTCAGGCAGACATCACAGTGGTAAGAACGTAGGAAAAGCTAAGAACTTTGGATTCTAAATTACATTTTTCTATTCTTGCTAGAGCAGCTGAATTCTGTGATATATCTGGGGCCCACAACCAGATATTAAACATTTAAACACCTGTAAAAGCCAAAAAATCCAAGAAGCCGTAGTAGCCTTTAGCTCAGATGGCCACCTAAGAAAATCAACGGTTATTGATCAGAAAAAGCCCACTGAGACACAAAATGGAAGGCTGCTAACAAAAAAGTAAACTGGGTCTTTCTGCCCCTGTCTGGAAGAGACGGGGGGGGGGTTCCCCACTTCTACTGAGAAGCAGGAGGAAGAGCTCAACTTTTCTCTATTGGTTACTCAGACCGGTTCCATCTTTGGTCTTACGTCCTCCCTGAGGTGCGGCTGACTTTTGCACACAGGCCGCTGCCGAAGGTCACCCAAGAAGTAGCTGGGAGTGCTTCCCCAACGCTGTCGTGGCTTCCCAACAGGCCAAGATTGCCTTGGCTTCCCTTGGCTTCCCTGGCAAAGAACGGCCCCGCCCTCCTCTTGTTCCCTGCCTGCTCTGTGTGGCTGCTCTTCTACTTTCCCTTACACCTGTGTGATTCCAGGACGCTTCTAGCTCAATTTGCAACAACGCTGACAGCAAAGGAGGAGTTTAGCTGATAAGACTCTGGGTGCAAATTACTCAACTAGAGGTGGTTGACACGGGACACCCCAGATTTCCTTTTGAATCTCTCCGACATTCACCATTCTTGGGACTTGAAAGAGAAGCGGTCAATTTATTCAGGCAAAGAACACCCCAGCCAAGAAAGGGTCCTGGAGGAGAAAGCTCTTTCCCTCTCCAAAAGGGAGCCCCCCTCCCCCGGGAGACACCAACAGGCTCAAAGGAAGCTGATGCAGAAGGAGACACTCTGATTCTGGCATGCTGCTGCATCTGGAATGCAAATACAAAGGGGGAGGCGCGTTCAGAAGGGAAGCCCACCGGCAGCCTAGAGCTAACGGTTCGTCCACACCTCAGCCTGCTTCCTGGCACAACCGGAGGCTCCCCGGCAAACCGAGAGACGGGAAGAAGCGGGAAAAAAACAAGACTGGCTGACTGTCTACCTTGCCCTCCACTGTTCCCTCTCCAGCTCAGAAAGGAGGCCCCACAGAAGGGACGGAGCAGGAGGCCATTTAGGAGACATGGGACGCACCAGCAAGCAGACATTAAACCAAGGCTTCCAACACTCGGCCTGGCACACGCCAAGAGGCTCTTCCACACTGCACAGAATCTGGACACAGGGCGAGAGGCTCCAGGGTGGGGGCGGCAGCAGGCAGGCAGGGAGGGAGGGGTGAGCAGCCCAGCCATCGTGGGATCCAAGCTAGAAGGACTTTGCCCGCGAGTCCCAGGCCTCACCTGATTCTGTGCTCGTTTTACGCTCATCCTGCATCTCATCCTCATCGTCTTCCTCCTCCTCACAATCTTCCTCCTCGGCAGCCTCGCCGTGCATTTCCTTTGCGATCAACTGTCTGGCCAGCTTGATGTTCTGCGCCTCGTTGTAATGCATCTTCCTCTTCATTTCAAACTGCCTCTTTTTCTCTGTACCAGGAGGAACAGAATTTGCAACACAACATGGCACCAGCCACAAATTTCACAAATCTCATTCCATTTCCCACACATGAAGTTATGTAAGTTGCAATCCAGTGCAATCAGACTGACGGGGAATCTCTATAACATAAGTCGCTTTGCACAACACGTTGCAGGAGTGACTACAAGCTAGGTTGGGTACCACAAGGGAGGCCTGCCTTTTCTGCCAGCTGAAACGCTACCAAGGGTGGGGGCGGGTGGGGGGGAGGGAGGGAGGGAGCAGAACAGCCTTTCATCAAATGCAAAGCGTAATTACTCATGCAGAGGCCAGCCAGACCAGTTGGCTTCGCAACACTGCCGTGCAGCCACCAGGAGAAAAAATAGCTCAGGCCTGGAAAGAAGGCGGAGGAGGTGTCAGAAGCCACTGGAGCCTCCGTGTTGCTTTGCACGTGCAAGAATCGCAGACCCTTTTTGGAGGAATAAGGGGGACACCAGAGAGAAGCACTGCACTGCACCCTCCCCCCTCCCTGCAGCGAGCAAGGCAGGGGAGGGGGGCAAACACACACGGGAGTTGGGACCAGGCACCTGGGACCATTGCAGGTGGGGAGGCCAGAAAAGAGGGCCTGCCATGTTCTTAGACTCCATCGCGTCCACTGGGCCATTTCTATGGCCACGTAGGGACTGCAATAAAAATGCAATCTGCCCCAGCCCGTCTAGTGCAGGGACGGGCAACTGAGTTTCCCCAAAGGGCCACCTGACAAACTCGGACCGTGTGGAGCACTGCACCAACATTGCGCTCTCAGCTGCTGCTGCCCTGCTCCCTCACCCAGGCTGGACTGGGACCACCTACGGGCTGGGTGTGACCCATGGCTGTAAAATTCCCAGGTGTGATCTAGTGCTATAAAACTGCAAAGCCCCACCTACCCAATTCTTCCGGAGTCAGGTCTACCTCGTCATCCTCCTCCTCCTCCTCCTCACTGCTGTCCTCCTGCCTTGCAAGGATTTTGGGGCCTTGTCCTTGTGCTGCGGCCGCCAACCTGCATTGAGAAAAAGGGAGAGCTGAACTGAGGCCGCCTGCCCACAACCCCAGAGGGACGGGGAGCCGACCTCCCCGGAGGACGCCTGCAGGGGCCTCCAGGCCAACACGGGCCATGAAGTTGCCATGAAACGAGCATTTCCTTCAAATAGGAAGAGCCACCAAGGTGGTGAGCAAATGCAATTTCCCCACCAGGAGGAGCTCAGCTGTGGATTTAGTTCAAGACGGAATCCACTAAAAGGAAGTTGGGGAACTCTGGAGAGGAACCCACGGTTCATGGCCTGGGGAAAGCCCCTTTGCCCAAACCTGAGGCCGGCCTGGCAGCTGAGGGGGAAACCCACTCAAAAAAGCTTCAGTTCCTCCCCGCTGCTCCCAGGCGTACTCGTCTGACAAGTTAAAATAGGAAGGCGCTTTGGAACTAAAATTTTTTTAAAACCTTTTCCTTTTTTTTTTTTGTTTAGAGTAATATTGAGGGGCGTTGGTCATGCAAACAGCACTGTTTGCAGGATTTGATTTGTTCAGAATTAGAACGTGCTCGTTGCTCATCAGACAAAAAGTCCTGCAAAAGCACTAAGAAGCTGCTGCCGCTGCCTCCACCACCATCTTCTCCAGCTAAGGATTTATACAATATCACAAAGAACAGAGAGAACACACACAAAAACGTTATTCCGGGTGCCCGGGTTCTTCCCCCCTTCACCCTCTGCCACCTCCCCCATCAGTTTATATTTTAGTTTAGAACTGAAGTCAACCAGGAGTGGCGTGGACCCCCCACTTGTGACTGATCTGTTCCTAACAATAGTCCTACCTGGAGATGCCAAATGTATCTGCATATAATTCTTAGGTAAAGTTCATAATTATTCCTGTATTTCACGCGTGATTTCTTAAAAATACATGTTTAAATAGCATAATTATGAACATTTTCATTGTTAAATTCCCTGGGTTTTAAAAGTCTGCCAAGTGGTTTCATTTGGAAAAATGAATGGTGCCCAAAAGAACACTGTGGGAGTCAACCTTTCTGGAAATTTTCATTTCTGTGCTTTTAAAAAACATAACTTTCAAAATATGAACTTTTTTTATATAGATTACAACAAACAGAACAGACTTCTAAGGCACAGGCACCAGGGACCAGTTCCGTGGAAAGAGGTTTTTCTGTGGACTGGAAGGTGCCTGGTTTTGTGTGTTGCCTGCATCCCGCGGATGGGGCTTTGCTTGTTTGTACAGCCCGGTTGCTGGCATGCCTTGACTCTTGGTGACCACCTGGACATGTCCCAGCACTTTTTGTTAGCAAGATTCCAGACGTGGTTTGCCATTGCCTCCTTCCCAGGGCTGAGAGGGTATGACTGGATGAAAGATCATCCAGCTGGCTTCACATCTAAGTAGGATTAGAACTCAGTCTCCTGGTTTTTAGCCTGATGACTTAACCACTCCACTGACAGGGTCACTGGTAAATTACAGAAGCACAATGAACGAACTAGGCCATCATTCAGAAGGTTAGAGCCACCATTCTCTGAATGGTTCTTAAGGGCAAGCTTGAGCACCATCTCAAGCCTTTGCTTATTCCTCTGTGTGGTCAACATTTTTCTAAAGAGTAGGCAAGGGGGCAAAGGGCTGCTTCTCAAATCTGCAAATGCAGTCATCAAATGTCATCAGAGAGAAAATCAGAACTTTGAAAAGAAAGGCTCAACAAAGAGCTGCACAGCTTTCAGATACAAATAACAAGGATGCAAGGGCAGGCAAAAATGGTAGCTGATCGTGTGATAAATGTGAACCTATCACGCAATGTGATGCCTTAGTAAAAATGCAGAAGTGAATGAAATTAAATTTCAAACACACCAGCAGGCCATAATGGTAAATAGAGGCAGCCTGCTATTAAGGAGAACAGCCTGGAGCTCCTACCCATGCCTGTTGGCAAGAGGAGTCAAACAAGAGGCCTCGCAACAACCACGCTGTTTGTTTATAATTAAAGCTCACAAGATGCACCACACCACATCCCTGGTCATTAATTTTATTCTATTCTGTGGGAACCCTGTCTATCTCCTCATTACCAGTGCTTCTTTTTTTAAAAGCACTGGAAACAGCAGACCTTAAGAATCATCAGGAAGACAAATGGACTAGACACTGAAAGCCTGGCTGCGTTCAGTTTGGGTAAGAGCATTCAGACATGGTCCAGTCTTCAGAAGATCTGAAAGAACTGCATCCAGGAAGAGGAGAGCATTCTGCGCTGGAGAGTCTAACCAGCGCAAGGAAATGAACCTCAAATAAGGAGGGTTTTTTTTCTTAATTGCCCCACAGAAGAAGATGGACATGCCTAAATGAAGGTGGTCGAGGACATCCCCACGTAGGTGCTCAGGGAGCTCCATATACGTTAGGAGAAAGGATGGGCCTTTTTAAAGATACCTGTAGCAGTGGAGACCTCTAAAAGCGGATTTACAGAAACAAGAGACAAAAGAGAGTTTTGGATCAAGAAGGGAGGAAGAAAGTACGATCAAGAGGCCAAAGGCACAAGTAACCTTTTGGGTGAGCCAATCAGGGCTGCCTTGTTTCACATCCTTCACAAAAATCACTCCCAAGTTTTCGGAAGGAAAGGCCACCTCATCCCATCCTTGCAGCGAGGACACCCACCGCTCACGGCCGGTCCTTGGCCTGCAGAGGCAGCAAGAAAGCCCTTCTCTCTCCTGCCCCAAACCAACCGGACTGAGAGCTGCCATCAGGCCATAATACGGGTTAGAGACAGCTCTCCTTCCCACGGCATCCTCAAGCAGCAGGAGACCCCGGCCACAGCCTCAATGGAGGAGACCGGGGCTGGGGTGGGGACCTTGGGCCCAGCAATAAGACACACCCAGGAGGGGAAATCCAGTGGGGGCCCTAAGGAAAGTCTCCTGGTCCCCCGCGACAGGGCCCAGGGCTGCGGCTGTTGCCCTCCCGACCTGAGCCACCCGCAGGGCCGGAGTTCCCGTCCCATCGCACGAGGCAAGGAAGCCCCGGCCGGATCCTTGGGCGAAGGTCCTGAGCCAGCCAACACCTACTTTTTGGCCAGGATGTCCGCTGTGGGGACCGGGCTATCCTCAGCATCGCTGCCGGCATCCTCCTCCTTCAGGCTGCGGGGAGAAGAAGGGAAGCTCGTCAGGCGGCGACCCTCCCCAGCAACCGGCCTCTCCCCCAACCCCCACCACTGCCACCACCAGCACCCGTGGGGGGAAAGGAGGGGGAGCCTCCCGCACCTGTGGTAGGGCGTGCTGGGCTCGTCGATCTTCATCAGCCCATAGTCCTTCCCGGGCGGGTGGTAGGTGGCCAGGATGTTCATCTCGTCCCACTTCTGCGTCTTCTTCCTGCCCAGGGAGAGGAGGGGAGGGGAGAGGAGAGGAGGGGGAGGGTTAGTAGGGCGTTGAGTGCGGAGAGGGGGGGAGGGAGGGGAGGGGAGAGAGAGAAAGGGAGAGGGAGAGAGAGACCGGCCCGCTCCCTCCCACCTCCTCCTCCCCCCCCCGCGGCCCACTCGTACTCCTCGCCGCGGCTCTCGCAGCTCGGCTGCGCTTGCAGGCGTCCCCCGGCGGGGGGCAGCGGCGAGGCCTGCGAGAGCGCCTCGGGGTCCGCGAGGCCCCGCCCGCTGCCGCTGCCGCAGCCGCTGCCGGAGCGGTTCTTCAGGATGCCTTTCACGGGCCTCCCGCCGCCCGCCGAGCCCCGCGCCTCCATAGCCGCCGCGCCCGGTCCGTACGCGCGGCCTGCGCATGTGCGGCCCGGGCGCCGGCCTCTGTCGTCACAAGTGCGGGGCGGGCGCGAGGAGGACCAGTGCGCTTGCGGAACGCGCCTCCGCCGGCCGGGTTCGGGCGCGGCGGTGGCTGCGCCGTTGCCGGGCGACCCGGTCCCGCCTCCGCCGCCCCTTGGCGCCTACTGGAGTGAGGCCTGTGTGACCGGGAGCCCCGCCGGCGTCGCCCCTCCCCCTCTGCCTCCCGCCCCGCCTCCCCTGGGACAAGCACCGCCCCTCGCCCCCCCCCGCGACCCTCAGCCCCCACAATACCCCCCCTCCTAGACGCCGCCGGCCAGGTGGGTTTTCCGGGCTCTCCAGAAGGGGGAAGCGAGCTGTGGGGGAAGGGGCTCAACTCCCCGGAATTCCCCGTCGCAGGGCCTGCGGGGGGGGGGGTCTGGAGGCCGCCAAGGGGGAGCCCGGATGGGGGGGAGGGCCGGGGATCGGTGGCCGGCAGCGGAGGGAGAACCCCGGGGGGGTTGGTGGGGGGGCAAAGTCGGGAGAGATGGATAGATCATCTTTATTATTTTTTACTGTGGGGCCACTGGCACATTAAAAATGAAATTTAGTTGGCTGCTCTCAAAAGTGTACACATAACACACATAAACATGGTGTACATAAGATGTATAAACCTACACCCTTACATATAAATAACAAATATAAATAACATTTCATGTGATCTTGATTCTATCTGTTAATGCTAGGCTGCATTAAAATGGATAAAATCAAGATCATGTGAAGTATTAATACCGCTTTACAATACCTTGGTAAGGTCACACTTGGAATCCTGCATCCAGTTTTGGTCACCACGATGTAAAGATGTTGTGACTCTTTTGGAAAGAGTGCAGAGAAGAGCAACAAAGATGATTAGGGGACTGGAGGCTAAAACAAGGAACAGTTGCTGCAATTGGGTCTGTCTAGTTTAATGAAAAGAAGGACTAGAGGTGACATGATAGCAGTCTTCCAGTGTCTCAGGGGTTGCCACAAAGAAGAAGGAGTCAAGCTATTCTACAAAGGCCCTGAAGGCAGGACAAGAAACTCATCAAGGAGAGAAGCAACCTAGAACTAAGGAGAAATTTAAAATCACTGTCCATCTTGAATACAAAGTGGAAAGAGGAAGCTTGAGAGTTCACAAAGTTTATGCTGTAAGGAACAAAACTGTGGCTGAATCTGGTTGTTCTGCTTCGGATCCCACAAAGCCCCCTCTTCCCAGGGGGGATCAAGGAAAACAGGTCGCGGAGGGGACATGCGGCATCCCAGACAATTCTGTGGACCTTCCTGAAGCAACGTTACGTACCATGTCCTGGATGGAAGGGAGGGAACTGCCAATCACATTTTATGTCATCCTCACCACTCTGCGCTGCCTTCTTGTCTGAAGCAGTGATGCTTCCAAAGCAGACAGTAATACAGACAGGATGCTCTCGATTGTCCCTCTGTAGAAAGTGGTAAGGACAGGGGAAAGAAGATGTGCTTTTCCCATGCGACTCAGAAAATGCAGGCGTTGCTGTGCCTGCTTTACCAGTGTCTTGCTGTTGAATGACCAAGCTAGCCTACCCATTAGCTGCACACACAGAAACTTGATGCTAGAAACCATCTCTGCAGGTGAACCATTAATACATAGAGGAATGTGGCTGTGCATGCCTTTTCTGAAAGACCCCCGGGAGATGGACTGACAGTGGGTGGAGAGGGAGGGGGCCGCCCTCTCCTCCCACTGGGACCTCTTCATTCTCCTCTGGCTCCGCAGCCTATCGTGATGGGGGGCAGGTGTGGGGATTGAGGGGGATCTGGGCTGCCAGTGCCCCCTTGGGGAACAGGCTTTCCCGTTGGTGACTGGCATCCTGCTGGGGCAGCCTATTCCCTTCGCCCTTTGACCAGATGGACTGAGGAGAGCCTTTTGGGGGCTGTGTCTCCAATGGTAAGGTGACCAACCGTCCTCCTTTAGGGAGGACAGTCCTCCTTTTGTAAGTTCTGTCCTCCCTCGAAAAGTGTCCTCCTACATGTCCCCCTTTCCGATATTTGAAGACTAATCTGCAGGGCTTTTTTTTCCTCATAGAACGCTCAGAATGGTGTTCCGGCACCTTTTTTTGATGGTTTTTTTTTTTTTTTTAACTTTTGCATGAGCTGTGCTACTCCCGCTATTGGCTTTCGAAAGCCACTAGGAATTGCTGCTGAGCATGCCAAAACACCCGGCTGGCAAATTTTGCACATGCAGGTTGTCTGTATTATTGTTGCAATGAATAAAATGTTTCTTTTATTTACGATATTTTTTCTTCAATTTATTTGTGTCCTCCTTTTCATTGTAAAAAAGTTGGTCACCTTACCAATGGGGCTGGACCAGGCCAAGGAGGTGCCCCCTCGCAAGCTGCATGGCTGGTGCACCCCGGACCAATTATTGGCCTGGGACAGGCGGTTTCTGAAAGTAGCCAAGCTGCAGGCGCTGCCACCCCAGGGCCGCCCCCCCCCAAGCAAGGCCAGCTGAAGAGATGCCCCCCTCCTCCTGCCTGGCTGGATAGCCCACCTGGCTTCTCCGGAGGGGGGGCAGGATGCAACATACCTCCCACCCCCCAACCTTACGTATCCCGTGGCTGCTTCTCACAAAGTCCCTTCCTAATGTATGTAATGGCAGAGATGTCAGGAGGGGGGTGGGGTTTTCATCATCCCACCAAAAAGAAGCAGGGCCCACCGGGCTTCCGAGGCTTCTCTCCTTTTGTCTTCACTGATAAGACAGAATCCATTTCAGCCAAGCTTCATCAGAAGAGTTCAGCAGCTTTGCTAATTGTTCTGCATTCTTTTGCAGGCTGCTTTTGGGACAACTAAGTAAAGCACCTATGAGATGAATCAGCCGTAGGCGTGTGCCCAGTACGAAAGTGCTTCTCCTTTTTTTAACTCCTGGAATTGCTAGCCATATTGAAGAAAAGGCAAACATAGCCTTCTGTGGGAGCACATGGCTTTGTGCTTTGCAAGGCCACCTCCTTGCAAGGCTCTGACTAGACAGGCTTCTCCCCCTGCTGAAGAGCTTCGGTAGCTCAGCAGCCACATGAGACCTGCATGAGATGAAAAGTCCAGCATACCAAAACCTGTCATGTGCGCTGAACCCAACTAAGCCAGCTGGACTGGACTGAATTCAACCTGCGGGCAGTCAATGGCCCCTGCCTCCCTCGGCCTCTTTCAGCGTGGCTGCCAGCCTCTTCTTGTTCTGGGGAATTTCTGGGGGCTGTTAAACTGGAGGAACCAGCCTCTTCCACTCCGATTCCAGTACACCCAGTTAATTCCCGGAATTAGAGTGTTGGAAGAGACCACAGAGATCATCTCAACATAAGTGACCTTCTGTCTGAAGAGCTCTGGCAAAGGAAGACTCACCACTTACTCCTAACTGAGAAAATGTATTTATTTGTATCACACTTTTATTATTTTTACAAAGAACTCAAGGCGACAAACGTAACAACCTCCTTCCTCCTCTTTTCCTCACAACAGCCCTGTGAGGGTGACTGGCCCAAAGTCACCCAGCTGACTTCTGTGGCTAAAGTGGGAATGTATGCAGTATAAATATTTAAAAAAATACTTATCCCAATGTAGACCTTGTTATTTTATCGACGTTGTCAGAACAGCGTGGGGTCCCGAGTGGGCTCTGGGTCCCAAGCGGTTGCTAGAGCCAGAGGGAGGCCACATGGGAGTAGGCGGGAGAAAAGGCCACAGGCCAAGCGATGCTGGAGCCCCTCCTGGCTTTGCGAGGGGGGACGGCCATGCCTGGTCAGACATTCTCTGGAAGCGGAGTTGGAAGAAGGAGGCTAGCCAGGGCGGGGGTGCTCCGGGGTCTTGGAGAAGACTCTTGTGGAGAGCCAAGAAAATACACAATGAGTAATTGAAGGAAACAACCCGGAGTTTTTACTTGGGGCACAAATGGCCAGGCTCCACTTATCCTGTTTTGGGAACATTTATGCAAAGGCTCAGCTGTAATGCTGGGAAGATTGGAAGGAAAGAGGACAGCCCGCCACACGGCTGGTGGACTCTTGCGCTGGTGAGGGGTGCGCTATTGGAAGACCTGAAGAACCAGATTAGGGACTGATTTTGGTGGTGGTTTTGTTCTCCAAGCTGGCCGTTTGGCTTCTGAACTTTTTGCCATCAGGCTATGTTACATCATCAGCGGAACTTCAGTTAAAGCATCTTGTTTCAGTTCTTGTCTGCTTTTAAATGGTCCTGTGTGGTTACGGTGGTCGGTTGGCCCAGAGATTGACAGGTCACATGGTGCAAAGATTGCGTGGGGGAGAGGTGACCCTGTTTGGGGGTCACATGAGACGGCTGGGTGAGGTGGCTGGCTGTCAGTGATGTGGTCACTTGCTCGATTGATCTGACTCTTTACAGGCTTGTAGGCTGCTTCTAAGTCAATACATTTTGTTGATTGAGCCATTTGTTGAATGGACTGATTGTTGTGGAGAAAATCTACCCATCTGATTGCTAAGAGTTGTCACCAACTTGATAGCACATAATCCAAAAAGTGTCCAGCAGGAGCTGCAGGCTTCTCTCCAGCCTGTGCTGCTTTGCATTTGAGGCAGAACTGGGACTTTTTGGGGGGTTGAGCAAGGGAACTGGCTTCGTTCATCTTGAACGTCAGTCAGTTCTCCAGATGTGAAGAATTTCCCACACACAATGACAAGAGCGCAGAGACACCAGCAAATCACGTGAAGACAGCTTTAGTAGAAGGATCATATAAGCATTTATTTGGTTCCATGCTAAACAAAATCTCGGTTTTAAAAGCCCAGGGGATGGGAAGCCACGGTGCTCCTGTGCTGCACCAAGGCGTCTGAGATCAGCTTCATGCTGGTGAAGACCTCTTCCCAGCTGGCAGATTTGGCTTCCTGCAGAGATGCCCGCACTCGCTGGAAGGCCTATGCAGAAAGAGAGAGAAGCCCGGATCAGTCCAGCCATGCAGGGGAGAAAGCCCCCCCCCCAATGGAAGACAGGTTGTGCAGTGTTTTTGCAGGACCTCATCACCGGTCTCACCATGTTCCCTTCTGACAACAGAGTGCAAGCC